CAGGTCCAAATCTTCATTTTGGGGTAAATCCATTTATACCTGCAGTATTTTCGGGTTTTGGATCCCCATTTTGAAGCACACAGCCATATCTTGTTTGCACTAGGAGCTCATGACGCAACTCTTTCCGAGCAAGAGGCGCAGGGAATGACTGATCCGATGCAACGAAATGACGGGGCGGGGCTGACAAAGAAATGTGGGGTGAGTCGTAGGCAAATTTCTAGAGTCACGCAATATGAGAACAGAATGACGAATGATAGCAGAAAGACTGCATACACGAAAAATGAGGAGATGCATGCTGGGATTACTCGGCAAAAGCAATAAGAGCGGGCATGTTCCAAAATGGGAACGGCCCATGATTTTGTCTCTATGGTTTCCTGCTCCAAAAACAAAAACACATGACACCATGTCAGCTTGGGCATGGAGCACTACACATTTCAGCAGGTAAACGTCCCATGGCGGTGCAATTTGTTTTGATTGCACACGCTTGTGGTATGGCTTTTGTTCATGGACAAATATAGAATACTATGGACTCTGGACATCCACTTTTTTCTTGCTGAGGACCCCCACAAAATGTTGTTCAAGTACAATTACTGTAGGCATCGAAACTTCCAGGAATGAATCGCTCTCCCAGAACCAGTATATCCCAAAACCACTACACAACCATGCTAACGCCCTTATACACCCAATGAAACCATGAACCATGGTATAATGGTCATGAAGGAACCATTGTCTAAATGATGTAAAACGGTGCATGCAAAAAAGATTATGGTCATCCATGGTATAACAGTATAACTAGTATAACACATATTCGCCCCAACAAAACGCCAAGCTTTAGGCAACACTATAAGATCCACACGCAGCACCTTGGGCTGCCTGCGGTCCTTAGACATGCACCTCGGACCGGGGAAATGGGTTGCTAAAGCCAGGTTGGTCAATAGCCATTGGTTAAGGATGATAGTGTCACTTAATGGGGGTTTAAAAAAAACATCAAAATATGGGGGATATGAGTGATATAATTAATAAATGATGGTGGATGATTAGTTCGGGGAATATACTATATACTCAATAGTCATTAGGTGCAATCATAATCCATGAGCCGGGAATCGCGTTCTGAACCAACCAGGATTAACTGGAATGAAAAACCAGGAGGGTTATGTATTTTTTTGGACCGGGACTTTAGGAGCCCCTAAATCTGAAGCTGACCAACCATGAACCATGAGGAATCCCAAATTCATGCAGCATTTATGCCATGGTTTTTGTTTTCTCAAGCGAGGATTTCTTCAACTTGGCAACGACAGAATAATGGTGTTGTTCGGTTGCCGAATCCCATGACTTGGTGCTGACACCGGAATTTTCATGGAAATCCTGGGAAACTCCAAGGTTTACAAAATGGCAAATTTACCTGAACTGCTACCTGAACTGCAGATTTTGGAGAGTTCAATGTTTAATACCCACAATGACCAACAACGCTTGGTGCTGGATCTAAAATCTTAAAAAACACCCCGCATCCCAACGCCGATCTCCCAGGTGTTTGTTGCCCAGGAGGAATTGCTGGGGCTGCCGAGTTGCGGCGCAACGCGTCCTGCCGTTGGTAGGGTAGTTGGTAACATCATCGTTTCACCGAAAAATTGGGGAAGGTGGCTACGATTGTGGATTGAAGTCTGGAGATCCAAGTGGCCGTGGACTGATTTTCGATTTGGGACTGTGCAGCTTCATTTGTACGGCGGGACCTACGGTATACATGATGATCACTGGATGATCTGGATCTGGCAAAGGGATGTCAAAGAATTAGCCACAGATTTAGTTCACTTTGAAGACAACTCTACCCTTTTTTTCTACCCTTTTTTGGGTACCCAAATGATGATTCATCATTTTCCCCACTTCAATGACGAAACGGGCATTGCCCAGGCTGAAGAAAACGGCACAGGGCGTGGTGGAGAACAACTCCATGAAAGAAGCGATGAAGAAAGCAGAGGTCGGTCCTAGTGTGTGAGTGTAGTGTTTTCATGGTGTTAGTCAGTAACCAATGGTTGTTACAGTTGGTTGTTTACTAATGACTAATGGTTTACAACAGTTGTAATGGTGTTAAGTGATGCCGAAGGGCAGATGAACTATGAATCATTGTTCAACTACCAAAAATGGAGAGAAAGACCGACCTGAACCAAATTATGTGCCTGTAAGCTGTGAAAAAAGCTATTTTGGTATCTGATGTCTAGCCCAAGCCATTTGTTTTGTTTTTGGTGACTTGTCCTCTATTTGATCTGCAGATCCTCTGTTGCCCCACAAAAAAATCACCAAATGGTCCCAGTGAGTTGCGATCAGCCCCATTGATACTTGTGCCATTTTGGTTGGTTGAACCCCTTTTTGGTTCCCTTCCCTTTTCCCCATGTTGGTTGGTTCGATCCTCATTGGAAACCAGGACGACCCTGGATGGGAAAATCAAAAACAAATCCCCCATGCGCTAAACCGCTAAACTCACTTTTTTAGCTTCATATCCAATTACATTCCATGACATCCCCGCTATATGTATATATATATAAGGTTTTGGGATCACAAGGGCCACTCGACCGAGTCTTCCCCTCACCTTAAGCGGGACCGTTGTCCGAATCCCGCGGGCAATTGCTTTTGGTTTGCGCATTCCCGGCCTGAACTGGTATCGCCCTGGGCCTGCGATTTGTGCTCTGCTGCGTCTCTGGACCAGCAACACCATCTGCTCTGGTGTCCCAGCACCGTTAACAAACCTGGGTGCCTCGCAAGGACTTGGCCTACTTCCCTGTGTATGATCGGGGCAATTTTGTTCTTCCTCATCTTGCATACGATCCTGAACCAGGTGAATTTGGCTTGCTCTTTTCTTGGTTTGCGCTTTGTCTTGTTCTCCAAGGACGTTTTTGTAGAGGGCTACAACATCCTGGCTGATTTTGACCACGGCGCTCAATTCGACCAGAAGAGCTCAACGCCGAAAGAGAGCCAAAGCAAGACTCAATTGGTATCTTTTCAGGAAAGGTTTCATTTCGCTGTCAACGATCCAATTGCAGCAACTTGCTCGGACCTTAGAAACCCATCACTCCCGAGATCAAGCTTTTCTCCGCCAAGTCAAAGCAGCAATGTCTACTTCGACGACAGCTCCATGGAGATGCTCTGGATGCAGACAACTCAGGAAGCATACCGCCATGCACTGTGTTACATGCAACCTCCCATGGCATATGGTGATCGATCGCACGTATGTCCATGGAGTCAAGAAGAATCAGCAAGACCAGAATGCTTACTCATCTTGGCAGGGCAATCAACAATGGCCAGCGCATTGGGATCAACAAGGAGGACGTGCGCAAACTCCGAGACAGAAGTCAAGGCCACGTACTCCCAAGAGCCAACGCACCCCTCGTGGTGGACAAGGTGGACACGGTGGACATCCACAACAAGCTGCGCCCATGATGCCTGGAGCCCCATTGCCTGGCGCGGCCATGGCGCCCATGACCCCCATGAATCCAATGATGGGGTGGAAAATGCAGCCCATGAATATGATGCCAACACCGTTCCCAGCGGGGCACTTTGCACCGCCCTTGCCTCCGCCCGAGACACCTTGGCCAGTCTCAACACAAGGAGCACATCCCACCATGCAGCCCAATAGCCCAATGCGTCCATGGTGTCAGTGATGGGACCCAGTTTTACTATGCCTGCCATGCCCAAGATGCCGGCCATGCCAGCCTCTCCGGAGGTGGAACCGGATTTGATGACCCTTTTGAAACAGGAGGTCGCGGAGCTGCCACCCCACATCCAGCAAGCCGTGAAGAATTCGGCTTTGAAGGAGGGCGTCAAAGATGGAGCAAGAGCCACTCGAGATCTTCATGCAGCCGCTACGCACTTGGGGCATATGCGCAAGGCATACGAGAACGCAATTTTTGCGAGGTCTCAGCTCCACAGCAACTGGCGGAAGTTCTTGTCCGATGCGGTCAAGCTCTGGCAGGACTATGCGGTACAATTCGCCGCTCAGGAGAAAAAGCTGACGGAGCAGATTTCAACGACCAAGACGGCCTTTCTGGAGGCGAAGGATGCCTCAGCCAAGGCACAGACAGCGGCTGGGGAAGTTCAGGAGATCTCAGACGAAGAGCTGGGAGAAGTGACTTCATCCACGGCCGGTGCGGCTGCAAAGATCACGGAATCCATGGAGGACTTGTCCAAGTCCCTGGTCAGCTTACAACAGCAGGCCGATGCCATTGTTTCGGAGGAGGAGGTGCACTTGGCCAAGCGACCTCGCCGAAGACATCCGGCCGAAGAAGATGCAGCCATGGAGACTCCGCTCAAAGAACCAGATGGTGGAGTTGCCAAACATTTTGGTTAGGCTGGTTGAGTGTGACAAGTCTGTACTCCAACCGGGAGCCTTTACCAATCTGTGATCATCTCTCGCCAGAGTTTCTGGTCAAGAAATGGTCGCATCCAATCACCTCTGAACCTGCATTTTTGTCAGAATGGGGAGCTCTGGAAAATGCATGCAGCCTATCCTTTGACCTTGGCACCTACACTGGGATTTGTGTGGAGCCTGAGGCATCGTTTTGCAGATCCAAGTCTTTCTCCACGTGTCATTTTGCTGGAGTACGATTTTTGGATGACGTTGAAGTTTTGATTGGTTTTGAAGAGGAGATCACCATGTTCAGCGCTACAGTTCCCAGTCGTGCTCTTTCTGGTGTACTACTTGAAGGTGACCCTCTTTCAATCATTGATGAATTGCATCTTTATGCCATGAAGACTGACATTGACTCACACACAGTTCCTGAGGATGGTCTTGTCGGTTCTTCTCAATTTTCTTCTCCTGATCATGGAGTTATTGCGTGCAGACTCACGGACAGCTGGCACCAACCAATTCCTGAGGAGATGCTACCAGACCAACAGGAGCAAGACGCGGATCCCGACGTCATTCCGGAACCAGTTCATGCTCATCCCATTGTCCATGCACTTCTTCAAGTTGCGAACAGCAAGAAGCTTTTGATGGTTTGGACGGGGCCATGTACGTCCGTACTTGGTTTGTGCATCATGTCCATTTGCAGAGCTCCCCCACTTCCAAGATCTTGGAATTTCACGAAGACTGGAGGAGATGGGTGCCGGACTTACTTAGTTCCTGGAGGGAGCACATCAGACCCCTTGAAGAGGTCGATTTCTGCGTGGTCACACCTGATCCCTACAAGGGCTATTTGACACAAGTTGTGCACGCTGATCTCATCATTTCACAGGGCAGATGGACACATCGGCAACCTGGACTGGTCACCACTCACTACCAAGGACGATTGGCTCCTCCTCACACCTATGCAATTGCAGCTTCATTTGTACACACCATCAGCGGTTTCCACATTGCCACAGCAGCAAACGCTATTGATTGGTGTCTTTCACCCCAACATCGCTGCAGTGCGACCTATGGATGGGATGTCATTCCAATTTCACAGGAACCAGTGCATCGCATGCAAAGGGGCCATGGCTTTACTCTTGTGGTTCACAATGATTTCACTGCGGCCAGCTCCTCAAACGACTTTGATCAGGGTGGGGGCTCAAATGCTTTTGCACCCGAACGATCTGATGCTGGTGAAGAGTGGAATGGAAATGAAGCATTCGATTTTGCCCCCAACCAGGGACAGAGCCCCAGAGGCTCTGATCCACCGCAAGATCAACATCCAGATGACCATGAAGGTCCACATGATGACAGCGATGCTAGCGTCCACAGTGCTGATTTGGGTGTCTTAGTCTACAGACTCAATGCACCAGAGGCACATTGCTTTGCAACATGGACCACGTATGCATCCATCCTGGATGATCTTATTCATGGATTACGGCTTCCGCGAAACCAAGTCAGATGCTTTCACAGACTGGCAGTCGCTCCAATTGGTGTGCGTGTTCCTTCTGAGGAGGCAGTCATTCTGCAAAGCGTTGACGATGTGACACCTGGCTCAGAAGAAAAATTGATTCTCATTGACCTGGTCATTCACTATCAGCCACTTGCATCTGGTCTGCTGGTCCCTCCTGCGGCTCAGAGACAAGTTTGGAAAGTCAATCCTCAGATCCATCGAGATCAAATTCTTTTGCTTCTTCAGCTCTATGCATATTGCAGAGATCAAGGAGACAGGTGTCTTATACACAAAAATCATGCTCTATGGGCCGCAGCAGATCGCACCGTGCACCATATTGCGCATGGCGACTCTGTCCGGGTTCAAGTGCCACCACCGCAGAGCTCGCATGTTGACACCGACATCGCCATTGCCTTCAGCTGTGAGGAATCCAGAGATGGTGTGCACCTCTCCATGATGCAGCAAACTGTACGAGTTCTCCAGGAGCATACTGACTTTGGGCAGATACAATGCAAATCTGATCCCAGCGAACAGGATGACTGGAGTTCAATCGAACCCCGCTTTGATCGTGGACGTGAGGGCACCAGGACTCCCTACTTCTATGCCAATTTCATTCCAGGACACCTGAGACAACTGACTGGCGCGGTTGACACTGCTGGTCTTATTGAAATGGAGGAAGGGGGCCAAGTTGCCTACATCACCACCTGGTACCTCCACCACGCTGACAGCAAGGTTTGCCGTGTCCCTAGGTCCGTGCGCCTTACAGATCAACCTGAATCCTGGCGAGATCAGATTGTGGCGGTTTGGCACGATGTAATCCGACCTGATTGGCCTGCCAGACTCCGTCTGGTTCTGCCGCAACCACCATGCAGCCGCTTTGAGTGCAATCAGGCTCATGTGTTTGTCGAACAGGGCCAGCTCGCTGACCACATTGCCTTCCTGATCTCCATTGTTGATCTGGCTTCATCAGATTTGCGGGTTTTGTCCATTACGCACTCTGCCCATTCTGACGAGCCGCTGCAGACAGCCAGGAGTATTGTGCACAAAGCCAACCCTCTACATTTTGGGCCTCAGAGCAGGGCCAATGTTTTGTGGAAGGACAGACTCTTTGCGCAGTATGAACCGGACATCCTTGATGAGGGCACGAATGTCATTGTGCGCATCACGGCCAGCGATGAGGCGGTAGATGCTGACAGCACTAGCCTTATGCAGCAGGGTTCTGATCCATCGTCCAGCCCTTTCAGATTCAACCCGCTTGCTCCAGAATTTCATCCTTCACAACCATTGCCCACCTCTCAAAATTGTGATGATGAATTCATTGAAGACCTTCGCGACATTTGGACTGCGTCGGCGTTTTCTTGGGAAGATGAGGTTTCTACCATCAACGTTGCGATTTGGTTCACAGATCACAGCTGGATACAACCTCATGGGTCACACTACAGGATTGCGCGACTCTGGCCAGACCGTTCTACATGGAAAGCTACAATTGAGGCGGCCTGGGCTGACCACAGAGTTCCTGGCGCACCTTTGGAACACCATGTTGTCGCTCCGCAGCCTATCCTGGAAGACCAGCGTTTCTGTGCCCACATCATTCTTTTGCAAAATCCGCGTGAAGATTGGGTCACCTCACTAGTCACTTTCCACGAAGAAAACAACTTGCATACTCCATGGAAGCAAATGGCCGTGACCACGCATGAGCACATCCTTCTGGAAAATCTATTTCGTGCGATGGATCTTTATGATGCTTGCATATCCAGAACGCCAACCTTCATCTGCACTGCTTGGTATTTGCGAGTACACCTGCGCGTTGGGACTCCTCTTCCCGGCAGAAGTGGGTATGGTATCCATGGACGTTTGCAACGACTCACCAATGTTCAACCTGCGAATGTTGGCAGTGATCACACTGCTTTTCTACAATTGCCATCCCCTAAGGGAGAGCGCCAAACACGTGGATCGGTGGCTCACGACCACGGGCCTCCCGGGGAATTGACTTCAACCTTTGCCATCACAGTCATTCACGGCACGGCCGATGAAGCACTGTTGCCATCATACATTGAGGTTCCTGAATCATCCTCTTCATGTGTGCGAAAGGAGCTGCAATATTGGGGAATAAGAGCACAAGTTCATCTCTTCCAACAATGTGATGTTGCGGTTTGCTTCACTCAGAAGGCTTCATGTGAGCCCCCTCATCACGGAGTTGCTTTTTCAGTTGCTGCCCATGGCATTGTTGGCCCTTACTACTTTGAGGGGGCACACAGGAAAAGTGAACTTGAATTGATGAAGTTCTTGCATCGCTCTGGGCACCCAAAAGCAGTCGTCATTGAAGATCGAGATGTTTCGGAATCCTTCCAAGCTGTCTTTTCCAGGAACCAACAGCTTCAAGTCTTGATGACAAACACAAGGCAAAGCCGTCACCGAGTTGGCCGTCAGCCCAGCCGAAAGGCAGTCACGCTCCCTTTTTCACTCAGCCAGAACCTAGGGAAGAGCCGCCTGACTGCCTCCTGAAGCTTGGTATTTCTCCAGATGAACTGCAACACTTCTTCAACAGTGCCAAGGGCACCTTGCACACCAGTTTTGAGGGCCTTGGTTTGGAGGCGAATCTTTATGAATTGCTATCCAGTTTGCCGCTCCTGGAAGATGTCCTTCCTGATCGCTATATCATCTATGTTGATGGCTCTTCACAAGGACAGCAAAAGCACCGTCCTACGGATTGGGTTGAAGAAGTTGGCATCCCAGATGCCTGGGCGATGCTTGTTTTGGCAGAATCCTATGCCACTGATTCTGATGCACCACGCCTCTCTCTGGTTGGTTGGACTGCACAACAAGTGAGATATTCTGCACAGAGTCCTTATCACTTGGGTGCCACGTCAGTCGGATCACTTACGGCTGAACGTGAAGGCCTTACCTGGGCGTTCCTCTGGCGGCTTGGCCTCAACCAGCGTACGCCCACGCTCATGAGGAGCGATTCCCTACTGACCATCCAGCAGGCACAAGGCCAGATTGGTACGGCGATCATTGAAGCCTCGTTCAACTGCCTCAGAGGTGCTTATCAAGCCTTAGATTTTGCTCTTCCTGTTGACCACTTGAAGCTCCAGCATGTCTTTGGCCACAGTGGGGAACCTTTCAATGATTTCACTGACCATGTGGCCAAACTGGAGGCTCAGAGTAGCTTTTTCATTCGTCGACCTGCACTTGACATGGACAAATGGAGAACACGCATACCATTTCTCTGGATGCTCTTTGGCGAGAAGTATGGCGGGCCTACATTTTTTCCCAACGGCTTCGATGTCATGGCGCCTGCATTGCCGAGCACTACGGGTCCGGCGTCCACTGTGGTTGCAGAAGAGCACACAGCCATCCGCTCTTGCTTGACCATTCAAGTGAGTTTGTGCACGGCCAATATTCTCTCCATGTATTGCTCTCCGGAAGGGTTTGCTGGCAAACTTGGATATCTGACTGAGCAGTTTCATGCCCATGCACTCCTTATCGGGGGTTTGCAGGAGACGAGAACTCCACAAGGCCAATGCACAAGTCAGCAAGTACTACGTCTTGCTTCGGGTGCTGACCATGGACATGGAGGAGTCGAACTCTGGGTTAGTCTCCGACAACCATATTGCTATGTTGATGAGACACCTGAGTATTTGCAAGCCTCCTACTTCCAGGTCCTGCGTGCTACACCCAGAATCTTGCTGGTACGTGTCAAGGCGCCTTTTTGGAATGCTTTGCTTCTGGTCGGCCATGCCCCGCACTCGGGCAAACCACAACAAGAATGCCAAGAATGGTGGGACTCCTTGACGGAACTCACCCAACATTTCCGTGGCACTTTGCCGCTTTTTGTCATGATTGACGCCAACGCTGAACCTGGCCCTGCAGACGGAAGTTGTGTCTTTGGAGCAATGCGTAGAGAGAGCAAAAACACACCTTTGTGGAGAGCTTTCCTTCATTCCTTCCAACTCACATTGCCACAAACTTGTTCACATCACGTTGGGGGCCTTGATACGTGGGTGAGTCCTGATGGCTTGACTAGCCATTGTTTGGACTACATTGCCATACCACGTGACCATTTGGAGCATTGCACGCGCTCTCAACTCAGCGAAAGCTTTGATCTGGGAAATGAGCAGAGAGATCATACACCTTTAGCGGTGCAACTGCAATGGTATGAACAGGGGATTTCTGCAGTGGCTTCGAAGGCGTCCACTACAACCTTTGACAGACCCAGCATTAGTGAAAAAGATTTGACTGGATTTTTGAAGGATTTTACTGGTGCCTCGTGGCAGACTGACGTTGAGTCTCAGATTCAACATTTCAATGGAGCTGTTCTCCATGATCTGTCGCAGTTTTGTCCTCCTGTGCGACGAGGCCCCAAGAAGACCTTCATTTCTGGCGACATTTGGACCATCAGGAAGGCCAAGCTGCAACATCGTCAAGCACTACATCTCTTGCGCAAACGTCAGACGCTTGAAGCCACCTGGTGTTGCTTCAGAGCATGGAAAAGACATGATGCAGAATTTTCTGCTGAGGCTGCCTTTAACTACGGCACTACACTTCAGTGTCATGCCTTGCATCATTACGTAGCTTTCCGCCATCATGCGCAGAAACTCAAAGCCGCATTGAGAATTGCCAAATGCAAGGGCATCGTTGAGCGTATTGACAAGCTGGGCAGTTCGGCACCGGCCTCAGCCATCTTGCATACGTTGAAACCTTTCATTGGCAGCGGCAACGCAAAGATGCGGGGAAGGCAACCTTTACCCAATATCACCACAGATGAGGGCCTGCCTTGCTCCGATCCTGCAGTAGCCTTGGACAGATGGATTTCCTTTTTTGGCACTATGGAAGGAGGTGAACGCATATCCGTTGAGGAGCAGCGCAGTTTCTGGCTGGCCAATTTGCAGGAACTCCGGATGTCGCATTGCTCTCTGGATGTTGCTGACCTCCCTTCTTTGACAGACCTTGAAGCTGCTTTCAGACAAGTCAAAACAGGCAAAGCCACTGGCCCGGATCGCATTCCAGCAGAGATCTGCAACAAGCACCCGGCACTCATGGCAAAGTTCACCTATCCATTGCTCCTCAAGATCATTTTGCACGGACAGGAACCTTTGAAGCACAAAGGTGGCCGCCTGATACCCTTGTGGAAGGGCAAGTTGAGCCAAAGCCTCTGTGAAGCTTACAGGTCGATCTTGATCTCTTCTCACATTGGGAAATGTTTGCATAGGACCATCCGGTTGAAGCAGTCCTCCACCTATGAGGCCTATTTGCAACACCAACAAATTGGGGGACAGCGCAAAGCGCCTGTCGTGTTGGGGGTCCACTTGGCCAGATCATTTTTGCGTTTCCAACAATGTGCCCGTCGACCAAGCGCGCTACTGTTTCTCGACCTCACCGAGGCGTTTTATCGAGTATTGCGCCCACTGGCCTTAGAGGGCATTTGTCATGACGATGTTTTAGCAGCCATGGCACAGAGGTTAAACTTGGGGCCACATTTGCTTGCGGATTTGCAAGCTCATTTGCGTGCCCCCTGTGCTACAACCCGAGCCAATCTGCCATCACATCTTTGTCGCGCACTTCGAGCACTGCATCTTGATACCCACTGGCACATCGGGGATCAGAGCGATGTGTGCCGAACGACCATTGGCACGCGCCCAGGAGACGCATTTGCTGATGTCGTTTTCGGCTACCTTTGGTCGCGGGTGCTTGCCGACTTCAAAGCAGTTGTGGGAGCAGACGAAGTTTTCGACAGTTTCCCGGATGACCAGGGGCCGCGCCTTTACAATGCTCCTGTTGAGACAGGACCTGATGCCAAGGTCTTTGTGGGGCCATGCTGGATGGATGACTTGTGCGTTGCTCTTAGTGCTGACAATGGCGATGCCCTGATCTCCAAAGTCCAGTTTGTGACGGGAGAACTGCTCGATCATTGCCTGGCTCACGCCATGACACCGAATCTTGCTGCAGGGAAGACCGAACTCATGTTCTCTCTCAGAGGCCGCGGTGCTCGGAAACTTCGTGTTCAACTTTTTGGACCTTCCGCACCACGTGTCCTCCCAGTTTTGGGGGAGTATCATTTGCACCAAGTGCGAGTTGTACAACAATACACCCATCTTGGCGGCATCCTTCATCACAGTGGAGACCTTCGAGCTGAAATCCGCCGACGTTTGGGCATTGCGCACGCTGCTTTCACGCAACATAGGAAACTGCTGTTTGCCAACAAGCACTTTCCTTTGGTGCGCAGAGTTGAACTGTTTCAGAGCCTAGTGCTGAGCAAACTCACGTTTGGAACGGAGTCGTGGACTTTCTCTGATATCAAGCTCAAGAGTTTTTTGCACGCCACAGTCATGCGCCTTTATCGCAGACTTCTCAGCCAAGCGGGCGATCAGCATCTCACAGATGATTTCATTCTCTCTATGACTGGCCTTCCCTCTCCGACAGAGCTTTTCAGGGTTCAAAGGTTGCGCTATTTGGGCACTTTGTTCGGCTGCAGACATCTGGTTGATTGGGGCCTTCTGAATGCAGACGGTGAATGGGTCACTTTGATCGAGGATGATTTGCGCTGGCTGGGTTATCAGCTCCTTGATGCTACACATCTGAACCCTCCTGAGACACATCCACAGGAGTGGCTTGCGGTGGCTCAACACCACCCGCGCTACTGGAAGCGTTTGGTACGCAGAGGGGTCTTACATGCCATCAAGCAGAGGAGCCGAGAACAGCAACTCATCCAATTTCATCAAGGGATACGAGACTTCCTTCACCTTCATGGCCTTCTTCCTGAGCAGCCCGACAGTTTTCATGGCTTGTCAGAAGATCAGCCGCAGGCAACCTATGGTTGTATGTTCTGTGGTTGTCGCCACAAATCCCGGGGGGGCGAGGGGGCGCACCAAAATCGTGCCCATGGTTGGATCAACCCTGTCAGACACCTCTATGAGAACACCCAATGCGGCAGCTGTATGAAGGAATACCACACAGCTACGAAACTGAAGGCGCATCTTTTGCACTCCTTTGCGTGTCGCAGCCAGCTCATCGGATCAGGATTACGATTCACACCTTTGCCAGGTAGTGGGTCCACCGTTGAGGCGGACAAGGAGAAGCTTCATGATCGACTCCTTCCACCTCTCCCGGTGCATGGACCGAATCAAGAGCCTCGACCCCCGCGAGATTTTGATGGGATTGACTGGAGCTTGCATGACGATTGCTGCCTGGCTTTTCTGGACGCTGAGACCGAGGATGAGGCCATTTCATGGGTGCGATCACGCATTACACAGCATCCTATTTCATGGACCATGTGTAGGACCACACTCTGGCAATTGGCTACCACGGTCACCGAGCACGCTCATGAAGATGCTCTTCGACATTTGGAAGGCAGCGTACTATCCGAGCGCATCAAGCACCTCGCCGATCCGAGAAGCTGGTCTTTCCTTCAAACTGACTTTGAACGGACCCACGAAGAAGGAAGACTTGGTCAACTGGAGACAGAGCTCTTGCGGTGCCAGGTTCCTGCAGATTGGTCGCCGCCTCGCTGTTTTGGCAAACATCGGATTGTGCTACATGCCTTTTCAGGCCGAAGGCGTTTGGGCGATTTCCAATACTATTTGGATTCCTTCCTGGCGGACCATGGAAGCGGCATTGTGGTTCACACCGTCTCCTTAGACATAGTTGTTGACTCTGTGAAAGGGGACATCTCCAAACCGGACATTCGCAAGTTTTGGCTTCATGGAATTGATGAGGGATGGATTGTGGCCTTTTTGGCAGGCCCGCCCTGCGAGACTTGGTCTCGTGCGAGACTGTTCAATGTGAAGCTGGAGAGCGACAAGGACCTCGCGTCATTCGCACTGCCGAAGATCTTTGGGGCTTGGCGCACCTACGCCTCCGGGAGTTGGAGCAGATCGACGTGGGCAACCTCCTCCTGTGCTTTTCTGCTGAGGCCTTTTTGCGTTTGGTCAGGGTGGGTGGCTCCGCTACCATTGAACACCCACGTGAGCCAGAAGAGCCACATTTTGCCTCCATATGGAAGCTGCCACTTTTCCAGATGCTGCTCTTGCTACCTGGGGTCGAGTTGCACTCCCTCAGCCAAGGATTTCTTGGGGCGCCTTCATGTAAACCAACAAGCCTTTTGTGCTTGAATTTACCTGGCATCTGCCGGGCCATTGTGAAGAACCAGGTGACTAGCACCATGCCCAAAGGCGCTGCGATTGGCAAGACAGTTACCGGCCAGTGGGCCACAAGCTCCTTGAAGGAGTATCCGCCGGCACTCAATCGTGCTTTGGCGGAGGAATTTTCTCATGCCATTTCTGTTGCCCCTCTTGACGAGTCCGTGGCAATTGATGACGATTTCCTCCTGGCCTGTAAAGACATGACTGTAACGAAGTTTACAGATGTGCTGGGCAGAGATTTCGCGGGCTGAATGGCTGTGTTTTCGAATTCAGGTAGCTCGAGCCGCGACGACAGTCACAAAAGGCCGAATGTGAAAAAAATAATATATATATATATCCCATTATATCCCCATAGTATCCCCATTATATCCCCATGATATCTCCATGGTATCCCCATTCTATCGCCCATGAAATATCCTAACGAATCGCTACTTTTGCATGTCGCCAGGCATGGCTTCGGATGAGGATTTGCGGGCCACGAACCTGGAAGGCACAGAAATCCATGGTGATTTAGAGGGAACATCTACAGGAACTGCGTGATTGATGGATATGATTTGGGGATAAGTCACAACCTATGATACCATATTTTCTTGGGATATTAATCATTATACAGTGGAAAATTGCTGAGCACCACTGAAGACCATGGTGATTTAGAGGTACATCTATAGCAAACCATGGTTTCGACCCTGAACAAGAAAATATTTTCCGGGTTTTCCTGCAGAATTCCCCTGAAACCAATCCATGGAAACTGAGGGGATTTTTGATTGGATCTTTCATGAGAATTGTAGATTTGAAGGAACATGGGTGGATTTTTCATGATTGGTCACTTGACCCTTCGACAGTCATTTCCTCAAGAGGTCCAATCGCAGGGCCGTTTCCAACCTGAAATGGGACCTCCAATTGAAGAACTTTTTGGTTGATGAATCTGAGTTTGGGCTAGGTCAAATTGGCCAAACCATTCAAACCCATCATCGGTGGGGCCGTATGAATCCATTTTGCCAGATCAACAGGTCTGTGCAACTGCACAGGTGTCGAAGTTCCTGCAATCCATTACCAACAAGAAGCCATTCATCATCTTTTTCTTCCTGCCCCGTGCCTCAGTTCTTTGCACGAGCCAGCCACATTTGTTTGGAGCGGACTTGAACAACTGAGCCGATCATAGGGTGATGAAGTTAAGCAGAAGGTGCAAGCCGCAAAACTATCGCCCCTCCTAAGGAAGGATCCATCCTCCTATATGTTAGCTATTGTTAACTATTAAACAGCTATGGTGTAGCTGTTTGGTGGCCATAAAGGCAATATGGTTATTTAACAAAACTATCGCATCCATCCTCCTCCTCCAAGGCTCACAATGTACATTCTCATCTTTCCGGATTTGATCAACATCTTTACCGACAGCGATGCCGATGTGCCTGCCTTATGCAGAAGCGATGAATTCAGATTTGATAGGCAGCCCCGCAAGGATCAGTCTAAAAGAGAAGCCGGATTTTATTTGCAGGATTTTTCAGTGACTTTTGACACCAAGGATCGTGCTGCTTAGTAAGTTATTAGTAAGTCAGTAAGTGGTTCACACTCACACCGCGGTTCGGCGGTTGAGTCCAATGATGTTGAATCTCCCACATCAAATGGCTGTCTAGCCGCTGACCAGATAACCCATTGGCTCGGCCGCAAAGTCCCCAGGAGTCGTTGCTCACGGTGAACACAGTGATCTTTTTCTTGCAGCTCGTCGAAACCTGGGCATGGATAAGATTGGGAAAGACCTGGGAAATAGAGATGGAATGATTGGAATGATTGGGATGATTGGAATGATTGGAATCTACAAATCTGGGTTGCTTCAACTGTTTCAGTTCTACAAATCTGATCCCAACATTCCCAGCTGACTTTCATGGGATTGACACTACCATTTGGGGATATCCCAAAATGGGATGCTCAATGCATTGGGGTCTTCGGCGTGTTCCCAAATTTTCATGAGCTTCCAAAAGGATGATACCTAGTAATATAGATTGATCTAGATTGACATAGTGTATGATATAGTGTAATACCTAGTGTCATACCACAGTGCCCAGCGATTTTCAAAGATCCAAAGATCCAAAGATCCAAAAAATCACCGGTGTTCACGGCACAGCCCACCTCCGTAACACAGCCCATCTCTCGAGGTTTTTGTTCGAGCTCACTCTGATCCTTTTTGTTGACGGAGCCGCGGGGGCATGGAAATCGGACTCGGGGAATCATCCCGATGGCCGCAAGTTTCAGGTTGGTGAAGTATCGTCATTTACCCATGTATGTGTGTATATATAATATATACATATATATATATATATTGTATATATATATATATGCGGCAGAAGTCTCAAGAAATTGGACATGGTCATAATCCATGAATTGGGAATCCGAAGCCAACCGTTTTCCCACTGTTTGATCAGAGGGGACACCTCCATGAAAATCCACGACCAATGGATAGAAATCGATTAGCCATGATTCGATTGGTATGTCAAATGGTAAATTAACAGTTGGACCCTGAAAATAGCCTAGTTTTCATGGAAACTAATCTTCCAAGCCCGATCACTGCCAGGGTCTATGTTAATTTACCAGAGGGTATATCAAATTGGTTTCACGATTACTGTAAGAATGCTGATGAACGATGATGAGTTATGATGATTATGATGATTATGATGATTGATGATCGATGAAGCCAATGGTAGTTGATAGATGGTATATCGGTATATGGGGATAATCATCTTAATCATCATAATCATCATATATCATCAAATATCATCATATATCATCATATATCATCATAATCATCATATATCATCATATATCATCATATATCATCATATATCATCATATATCCTCATGTATCATCATAATCATCATATATCATCATATATCATCATATATCATCATATATCACCATATATCATCATATATCATCATATATCATCATATATCATCATATATCATCATATATATCATATATCATCATATATCATCATAATCATCATAATCATCATATATCATCATATATCATCATATATCATCATATATCATCATATATCATCATATATCATCATAATCATCATTATCATCATATATCATCATATATCATCATATATCATCATATATCATCATAATCATCATATATCATCATATATCATCATATATCATCATATATCATCATATATCCTCATGTATCCTCATGTATCATCATATATCATCATATATCATCATATATCATCATATATCATCATATATCATCATATATCATCATATATCATCATAATCATCATATATCACCATATATCATCATAATCATCATATATCATCATAATCATCATATATCATCATATATCATCATATATCATCATAATCATCATAATCATCATATATCATCATATATCATCATATATCATCATAATCATCATATATCATCATATATCATCATATATCATCATATATCATCATATATCATCATATATCATCATATATCATCATATATCATCATATATCATCATATATCATCATAATCATCATAATCATCATATATCATCATATATCATCATGTATCATCATATATCATCATATATCATCATATATCATCATATATCATCATATATCATCATATATCATCATAACCATCATATATCATCATATATCATCATATATCATCATATATCACCATATATCATCATATATCATCATATATCATCATAATCATCATATATCATCATATATCATCATATATCATCATATATCATAATCATTGATATCCATATCGGTATATCAAGCCGGTCCCTCTTGGACCAGGGAAATTTTTCCAGCGCCAGGATGGTACGTGCTTTCGATTCCCTTCATCCTCGACGCGGTCCGGACTCCTGGGACTATGCTGGGTGAAAGAAAACTTGGTTTATTGCTATTATTTACCATAACATACCATAAGAAATTTTAATGAAGACTACTTATTGATATTTATGACTATTCATTAAATGCTGTGATTATGATTATTACTATTGTTTTTAAAATTAACACTCGAAACACCCAAGGTTGCTGGATTTCCGTGCGATCTGAGCGGATCGCCATGTTGTGAGCGACTGAGGTGTCGCTGGTGAGCATCTTTTTGGACACATGGATGGAGCCTCAGTGATGACTACCCAACCTGGTTATGACTAACAGTTTGCCATGGAAAATCCCCAAAATAGGCATGGAGGTTTCTAACATAGCCATGGTATTATGGAATGTTCCTTGTTCCATATTGGATACATATATATATATATAATTTCCATTAATTTCCTATAATGATGATTATTGGATGATTATTGGATATTACCCTCTGGTTATGACTAACAGTTTGCCATGGTTTTTTGATGGCCCTAATTGAAATAGATGATTTTCCCAGCTAGAAAACTCCATTTATTTTGGGGATTTTCCATGGCTATGTTAGTCATAACCAGATGGTAAGGTCGCCTGACGCTGCCGCTGATGGATTGGATGGATTGGATGGATTGGATGGATCATGAATCATATCATGAATCGTTGGATTATTCCATGGGAATCAGTTGCAAATCATGCTATCACCTTCAAGAAAGCAGGGGTCGCGGAAATCCGGCTGCGCCACCAAGATCACCAAGGTTCATGGCCGAGATAGCAGTGGATAGCAAAGGCTCTTCACTTTCGCGCTTGGTCCGGTTGCCCCGGTTTTGACGACGATAGCAGCGACGCTGCTGTTGGGATAGCAGAAGGTATGGGTTGAAATCATTGACTCCCAAAGCCAAGGATTCTGGTATCATGTTGCTCCTGTAGACTCTAGACCATCCATTTTTATATACTCAGTATTGATCCATACCCACTGGGAGTTTGGATGATATATATATATGGTTGTTGACCGAATGGGTTTGTCTGAGAACTTGGGGAATGCCATAGTTCAGAACCGAAAATTTTCCGGATTGAACCTACTCTTTGGGGGACTTTTTCACAACTTTTTCAGACAAACCCACATTTATCACATCAAGATGGCTTTATATCCTGAAAATCTTGAAAACCTCCCCATCATTAACCCGTCATATCGTCATTCTTGACCCATTCTGAATACCCATTGCCAGACACACCCAAGCCGTACCCTGCTGTAATTTAACACTTTGCTATGGACACTCACCATTGTTTCGAGGTAAATCATGGTATATAAATCATTTAAAGAGAACTGTTCCTGTTAGCCCTGCTGGTTGATCGGATACTATCCGCTAAAGAAACATGAACATTATGGAATGTTCCTTGTTCCATATTGGATATATATATTTTCCTATAATGATTATTGGATGATTATTGGATGTTACCCTCTGGTTATGACTAACAGTTTGCCATGGTTTTTCGATGGCCATTGGCCGAAATAGATGATTTTCCAAGCTAGAAACCTCCATTTATTTTGGGGATTTTCCATGGCTATGTTAGTCAAAACCAGATGGTAACCCATCTTGGGGATGATAATCCACCGCTGAGGCACGTTCCTCGAGGATTGCGCGCATCGCGCGGATTGGCCGCGTGGCCCGAGCACCTCGGCGGTTTTTTCGACGCGGGACCGGGGGACAGTCCGATGATATGGCTGTGTATGGAGGTTTCCTAAAATGGGATTAGTATTAGAATATGGATATTAGTAGTATATTAGTATTAGTATAGAACTGGGTGCCCCCAGTTCTCATCCATTTTAGATTGGGATTTGAAAAAATATCAACCATCCAGCTTTTGGGAGCCCCCATGAAAGTTTAAGCCCCCATGTAGTAATCTCGTAATCTCCAAAAATTAGATACATGTAGTCATTCAGCGCTATTTTACTAGGATTTTGCATTTCTATTTATTTTTGGATTGCTATATATCATATACGGAGGCCCCCAAATAGATAGAAAATGCGTTGAACACCGGGGAATTAGGAGATAAATATCATCAAATTACCATCCTGGAAATGACCCCGCCACAATGATGTTACGACCTCACGGTCGCGACGTCACACCATGATGGGAATTTTGGATTGGGGGCATGTATCCCAATTTAAAGCCGAACATTTCAGATTAGTGAATGATTAAAAATTCATCCAGATATCATGAAAGTCATCCCCAACAAGATAGAAAAAAGCATGATTCCATTATAAAATGGTGAGAGTTGCTTTTCCATCTTTTTGTGGGTTATTAGTTACTATATATATATATAATTGTCAAGTCTTTGCTGTATATGCACCATATATGCTGGTGATAGCTGACCTTCCGAAGGTGACGAAGCTGATTCCGCGCGTGCTGAAGCTTTGTAGGACCGGGCAGCGTGAAACATCACTGTTGGTTGGGCCCAAAAGGGAATGTTTAGAGAGACCGAATGATACAAGGAACCCTGAATCATGCGGAGGGTTTCTTCTGGTTTTCATGCGTTTCACTGCAGGCGTTTGATGATTTCCAAACCAACAACCTTTATTTTGCTCATGTGGATGGCTTGAAAAGACACCTTAGAAACGGAATATGTGGAAGAAATGGTGCTAGTCAACCCAGCATGCACCAGTCATTAAACGAACGGGTACTTCTGGACGTCACTTTGTCCATGCCGACAACTGGCTGACGGAGCGGCACACTTACGGGAACCTCCCAGATGGATCGAACCACAGATGTTTTCCTTCATCACCCAGTTTTTGATTCTTCTTATTTTCTACTGAAACAAAAGTAACTTTTCGCCAATTCTTTGTGATTAAATGCAACTTTGCCATACTTCAACATACTTGGACTTCAATATACTTGAACTTCAATAACTTCAATATATTTTAATCCAAAAGTATCGGCGTTTTGACCCGCGGAAATCCGATGTCCCGCGCCCGGGCGCCACAGGAAGCAGAGCAACGCTTTGGCGGAACAACTGCTGTTAAGGCCCTGCGAGATGTTTGATGCGCATGGGAACATCAGCAAACAGTGGGATTTAACCATATAAAATGGGGATATGATGTGTGTATATATATATATATTATAGATTATATATATATAACATATATATATATATTAATAGATTATATATATATATGTACATCTGCATATGCAATGACGATCCAGATGTTAATGAAAACATCTGGGTTTGGCTGAAAATGGGCGATTAAGCCCTAGATTCATCCCCCCAAAATAGAAGTTGTGGTGATAAACCATGAAATTTGAGGTAGCCTATTCTAGAGGGTTTTTTCCAAGTCCGGTTGGTGGTTTCAAATATCCATCTGTTGAATCCAGGAGGGTTGGAATCGTCGTGAGTGTGACATAAAGTGACTGCTCAGACTGGTCAGACATATTTTCATGATTTTTTCATGTACATCTATGTCCATCTACATATGCCTGGCCTATATATATATACATACAATATTATATATATATGTATACCCGGATATACCCTCTGGTAAACTAACGGAGCGATTGGAAAATCGCCATAATTTCAATAGGTAAATCAACTAGGCGTCGTCTCAGGCGGCTCTGGCGCCTCTTCCAATACCTCGACGCCTCGGGTGCCACCGGGGGAGGTTTTTTCAAAGGGATCGATCTTAAAATTCGAAGCTCTGTTGATGATTCCATGGGATTATTCTGTCCAATATACTGTGTGTATATATATATAATATATAATATGATATAATATAATATAATATAAATATGTAGATAGCAATGACTATCAATGATAATCATGATCCAGCAAAAAGAAAGAAGTACTTGGTAGTTACATTTTACTTTACGAATTCTTCAAGAATCCGTGTTGACTCAGTATACCACTTCATCTTCCCCAGTGGATCAGCCTGAGGTGCGGGCAAGGTGTCCGTCTTCGATTTGAAGATCTTCTATCTTGCCCTTCTGCAGGCCAGGAAGCTCCATGATGTGAAGATCAACACCGCGGTTTCCGCGGTTTCCGCTCCCCCGTTTCCCCTTCAACGAAAACTCAACGAGAAGATCGTGGGTTTTTCTAGGTGTGGTGTGAAAACCTGAAAGTGGAGCCTGGTAGGAATGTCCCCATGTTCGGCCGGACAAAGTGGACGTGGTGAAGTTGCTGAGAAAGGACGCCATGGGCCGATGGGGCGATGGGCCATGGGGGCCATGGGCAGTATCCGGAGGTCTTTCCAGCTTAAGTCCAGGCTTTTGCAAGGACTGCAACTCACAGAGGCGTAGGTGTATATATATGTATATATATATATGTATATGTATATATATATATACATATATATATATACATATATATATGCATATATGCGCATATGCTGTATATATATATATTTATAAATAGATGTTGATGCATGTCTGTAGGTCCTGTGCTCAGGTGTAAGATCTATTCTTGGATGTCCTGAATCGTTGGCGGTTTCCCACCTCCTCTTGGTGCGCGGATTTCCAACTAGCCACACACCAACCACTCACACGATCCCATGCTGCCCTTCCGAGGACACGGAGTTGCTATTGAACTGCGGTCATGATGAGAATGGCATCATAATGGAGAACAGCCCGGGGGCCCAACGCAACGCGATGCAGCTGGAGTATTGAAAAAAGAAGAGGAAACGTCGCCATGAAACACAACACATAACATATATGCTTTTTTCATGATTTTCCTGGAGCCAAAGATGGCAGGTCAATGCAATCCCAACAAATGAAGGTCTTGAAGATGCCTTTATGCCTTTACTAGTCTGAGTCCTGGCCTTTCTTTGTGGTTCCATTAATTGAATTTCAGGGGCATCAAGGTTTAGTTGTCCTATGGAGGTTTGGGAAACAAACGACTCCAAACGAAAGCCTGTAGTGTCAACGTCTCCAGATTTCCACGAGTTTTACTTGGTGATTCTGCTTGGCTATTGATTTCTGCACGCCACAGACAAATCAAACTGACGGGCGCTGGTACCTTCAACGGGATTAAATAAGTTGACTCACCATCTTTACGTTTTTTTTCCTCGAAATCTCCATGGTTTGTTCCCGGCACAGTGAAAAAAAAACAGCAAAAGCCCATGGCTCAGCGCTATGCCCGTTGCCCGTTGCCCAGAACCCGTGCTCACGGTAGAAGACTTCAGCCAGATTTTTATGGGAACTGGTCTGGGTTGGCCCTGCGTGCTTGATCTGAACATCTGAAGCGACGGGGAACTCGAAACGGAATCTTCAGTGGATGAAGTGAACAGAAACTATCAGAAACTATCAGAAACTATTAAGGTTTGAATCCTAAGTTTGGGGTCGGACTCGATTTACTCCGTGGACCCTTCGGGTCATGAAACATTTGCCTGAGACCATGGGTTTTCTGCATAACATCGGCTCATTTCGGAAATGGAAGCTGACTTGAACGTAGGGATTTGGGCTGATGTGCCAGTGTTTTACAGTAGATGCTTGAGGAACATAGAAAGACATTACGGGTGAACTTATACATTTAAACATCTGTGTATATATATACATATATATATACATATATATATACATATATATATATATACATATATATATACATATATATATACATATATATATATACATATATATATATACATATACATATATATATATACATATATATATATATATACTCAGTTATAATCAATTATATATTAATATCTATGTTAATATACAGATAATATACTGCACATCTGCTTCTTTCACATTACAAAACAGGTTTGTTTTCTCATTCTCTCCATCAGCTCCAATGCCAGGTGTTCTGCTGGTGGAGTTCCATCGGCAAGACTTGGAGTCTGACGGTGGAAGCGTTTGGGCTTTGACGCAGAGATTGAGCGATAGTACCGCCATGAAGGCACATAGTACCGCCATTCGAAGACGGGGCCTTACGGGTTGACACCACGCATATAATTTTGTATGCAACTGCAGTTTATCACCGGCCATATCATGTTTCCGATACTAAAAAAGTATATATATATATATTTAAACAGCAATATATAAAAATGATAATACATGATAATACTAATTTAATGATATATATAATAGTATTGAGATTAATGTACGTGTGTATATATATACATATATATATATATGTATATATATGTATATATATATATATGTATATATATAATGACAATATACATTACAGTATATAACACTATATTTATGTATACAGTATACATGCATTATAATGTGTATATATATATACACATACACCAACACGTACATACAGAGGGATCAGAACCTAAGATCCTGCGACCCACAGATGGACTGGTCATTGGGCGCACGTGCAATTGCTGCAACGCGAGGTTTGCGTCGGCATCCTGGCATTGGTGGCAACGATGTCTTTGCTCGAGGCCCGTTACGCTGCGGTGAACACTGGCTGGTTGATGGGCGGGGTATCCGAGTTCATCCCAATTCAACAGTCAGGTTTAATAAGTTTAATATATAAATAAGTAAGGTTTGATCATCACCCATTTAAACACCAATAAAACCGGTCGACCAACTCTTTTTCCCATGGTGTTCCGAAATGATTTTGCGTCAGTCTGGAAGACCTGTACATCTCCAAGATATCTCCGAAACTGGAAACAGCTTGGAAACAGCATTTTTTTCCGAGGCAAAGATAATGATGGGATTTCCAATGGGATAAACATGGATATATGGAGGTTTCCAAGTTATAACTGGGGGTATCCCCATTGTCATCCATGAAAAACTAGGGATTTTCCCATCAAACAAGCCATGATATCTTCCATGGGCAACCAGTTTTCGTTCTTCGAAAAGCGCTGCGGTGCGAACTTCAGGTGGACACCATTGACCATGCACCGTCGCACGGGTGCGCGGAAATCCACCATGACTGGGGATGATCCCAGTGATGGATGGATGGGATGGTTTATGACATTGGGTGAATCTCACATTACCATTGGCTGGTATCCCAGTAATGATTATCCCAGTAATGATTATCCCAACCAGCCAAAGATGGTTTATGATCATTACCATTGGCTGGTATCCCAGTAATGGTATCATTGGGTGAATCTCACATTCATTACTGGGATACCAGCCAAAATATGATTGTATAGGGATACCTCTCTGGATAATCATTGGATATCATTAGGCTAATACCCTCTGGTAAACGTTGACATAACTATGGAACATCACCATGTTATTAATGGGAAAACTCAATATAAATGGCCATTTTCAATAGCTATGTTAGTTTACCAGAGGGTAAGAACCATTGTTTGAAACTTTCTGCAGCCAATGTCATCAAAGCTGAATTGCAAAGCATGTTTTTGTTGTTTTCCAGGCTGAATTGCAGAGGCATGTGATTTTTTTTTGATGTTTCGTTTTGCTGTACTGATCCTCCAAAGCTCCTTAGGTTGTTCCAGCCTAACACGTTGGATTTGGTTATTCACCCCCTGGAGATAGTTCACCCATCTAGACCCATCCCGAAAGTGTCTCAGCATCGGGGACAAGTATGAGGTATCCTTAGAGATTTGAACGATGGGGGTTACGAGTTTGTGTGGCTTCGAATTTGATAAACATGGGAAGCTCTGCTAAAAAAATGAACGGTCCACCGGTTAAAATCCCCTCATTCTGAGGGATTTTGACCCATATGGTGAGCACTTTGGGCTTTCGGTTACGCATTTTCGAGCTTGAAGTTCTTCCCGGCAGTATGCATTCTGGTAAACTCAGCTGGCAACGGAAAATGTTCCACGAATGGATGATTTCCCCTACCCTACCCTCTGATCATCAAGCATGGCTAGCTGGAAATTTCCCCCCATTTCGTTCGTTCTGATTTTCCCAGCTTTTATATCTCCATATATTCTCCATGTAGTTTGGGCGTATTTCCTCGCAGCCCGGAATGTGATAGCGAAGGGTGTATTCCCATTATATCATATATCCCAAGCATGGTCCCCATTATCCCATGATGATCCCGATGAAACCATAGGAATCGCTATAAATCACATACGAATCACTGGGGAAGTGGTTTATAGTTGGGGATATACAGTATATACATACATAAATATATACATACTATAGTGATTTATAATGGTTTATTGGTAATGTGATTTATAGGACCAGTTTTTCCGTGATATTTTTTTGCATCCGTGGTCCCATCCGCTAGGTTGGCCCAATTGGACAAGATCGCCAGGGATGTTCATCAGGCGCGCCACGTCACGGTGCAGGTGACCACTTTTGTTTTTGGTGTATCTTTGGGTAGTAAGATGTGGTAAGATGTGGCAAGGATTGAATCCATTAGGGGGGGACATCGGTGAATGAGTGAGGTACATTTGAAAGTGCCACTGATGGGTCACAGGTCACAGGTGATGCGGCTGGGGCAGTGTGAACAGTCCACTGATCAGGGTACTGAATCTTTGCGATCGCGAAAACCAATGATGGTGGCACCATGATGTGCAGGAATGATGATGATGATGATGATGATGCTGAATGTCGAATTATTCAACCATATATTTATCACTAGGCATGAAGGTTATATAGTATGATATTAGTAGTATGAGTAGACAGTGGCTCCCAGTTAGATTCACCAGGATTTCCAGATGATGAGGAAACAAATTCAAGTTTTTCCCCTTTTCCAATCTGTTTAGACCCAGCATTTTGGTTGTAGTCAGCCGGATCGCACCGCAGGGCAACAGCACGGACTGGTCCTACTTGTGCGTGGGGGGCCCCGGGCCTGGCCTCAATCCCAGGCAGAACGAGGGGTCCGGGGGTCCTCAACCCTGATCCGGCGCCTCAGAGACGGTCTACCAAGGTTCAAATAAAGATCTACAAGGGGTCGGGCGGCCGAGGGCGTGCTGCTGGACCATGTCCTAAGATAATTTGCCGGTATGGTGTATGATAAGCCGCAATTAATGATAGACTTGGGTCTGTCAATTTCTACTGTAACCCTAAATCCAATACTCAACCTAAATATGTTTTTTTTTTCTCGAAATGGCCATAAGATGGGTTTATACTTATACTAAGTTATACTGTATAAATGTTTTAAGACACACCCTTTTCATGGTAACCTCCAAACAGATAGACGAATTTTTCGGGGATGTTACAGATGATGTTTCCCCTCACAATCTCCATATTTTGTTTAGTCTTGGGTTTACCACCTCTACCAAGCGACCTGCAGTCTGAGTTGACATCAGCGGGAACTCACTGCACATGATGCTTAAGAAAAAGGGTCATCTCCCGAAAATCAACTTATGTCAGGTGGCTGCAATTCAGCCAGATGAAGGCTATGTAGGCTACATTCATGGCTTCGTCAGAGTGAATGCCAAAAAAAGTTGATGGTTTTGATGGCGATGCCACTGTTTCTATACGACAGGAAAGCGCCAAAGCGCCATTTCTGAGGCACAATGATCTGATGTACATGTACCTGGATGGCTGGGGCGCCTATGGACGGGCTGGCAGCAGTGGAAGACTCGGTGTTTCCGTCACGTTCAAACAGTGTGCATTGGGACCATGGTCCACGAGTCAGGAATACCACGGCAGGGCGCTTAGTGAGTTACTGTACATCTACATCCATAGAATCACACACACACATAAATATATATAAATATAATGGATATATATCGTACCTTCCCCCTGAAACCTTCCTTTTTTTCTGTACGTATATAATTATATATATATATATGTATATATATATGTATGTATATATATATATATACATATGTATGTATATACATAGATAGATATGAACCCCCCCCTGGCCATCCGCGTGAAGTAGAGACACTGTGGATTGAATGAAAGGCAGTGCCCCAGAATTGAGACAGTGTCATGCGTCCTTTGCTTTTTACTTGATCCCCCAACCCCGAAAAGATTTCAATTCCATCGTTTTTTTTTTTAAATAATATATCCACCATCAATCCAAAAAGGTTATCACAGTTCTAAACCAACTTACCAGTGAACAGTTCGATAAACCCTTAACAAGTTCGATATTTATCTACCATAAACCATAGTTCTAGGACTTATGTTCACCAATCAAATCGCTAATCAAATCCCATCCCCAAATCCCATAGATTGACCGAAAAATCTACAGGATGGGAGCATTTTGATGAGAATCAATGCCTCACACCCACCGGAGCTAATTCAGCTGGGAGACCTAGCTCAGGGGTCCGAGGCTCTGGCTAAAAACGGAGGGAAAGCGCTGGGAGTCCTTGGTTTAAGGCAAACTCTGCTGGAAAAGTCAAAAAAAGGTTGGGGATTTCCCTAGACTTTGGGAATTGTTCTAGTTTGGGATCTCCAAAATGGCTGAAGCCATATTTTTTGTCGACCTCTCCAAACTTGGTATGGGTGGAGCCTCTGATTGACATCAGATTTTTGCTGGTGAATAGCTGGATGTAAAAAAACCCAAAATCATATGGAAAACCGAAGGTTTTGAATCCCCAAATTGCAGCTGGATGAGCGTTTCCGACCCGACCTACAGAGTTCGGTCTGTATGATCAGCAGATACCAATAGAACATAGGGGATAGACCATACCCTTACGGGAAACTGGGAGATGAGCAACAAAAAATGTGGTGCATCATTCCAACAAACACTGGGTATATCATACGACCTCTGGTAAGTTGTGTATCAACCAGTCGATCCCATCAAGCCCCACAGTAGACCCATTGAAGAACCCTGAACCCAATTGAACACAATGAAAGTCCACTGAAACTGCATACTGAATAAGCTCCGTGTCAGAAACTATTGAGTCGAATCAGCGTCAAGATGGTCAGCATGGTCGGGATGGCTGGGATGGGATGGTCGGGATGAATCCGAGCCATCGAAATTCTGATCCAATGACCCCGATCCAACACCCACATTCAACTCCCTCAAAAGGCATTAACAAATCTCTCCTTAAAAGCCGATTAGACGACATTAAAAACCCATTCAGTTTCCTAAAAGCCCTAGTGGATCCCACTGGTTCAGCAAGCTCTGCACTTCCCAGGCACTCAGGGTCTCTGAAGCCTATGCCCTGCAACGCAGCGACGACTTGGTGGAGGAGGTTGGGTGCCGCAGACATGAGGGATTTCAGCAGCAAAAATGAATTTAAGGACACATATCAAAAAGCCATCCATCATATGGGGGGTTGCTAAAATTAGACCATGACTTAGTAAGACTTAGTATTGAAACCTATGGGCCTATGGGCCCATATGTTTCGAAGATTTGGGGAAGAATAACACGTTGGGTAGCACTAAAGACGTTGGCGCACACTGTTGTATAGTAGGTTTCTCTCCACTGTGTGGATGTACACTTTACATAGGGAGACCCATCATATCCCTAACGTGACTAACGTGCACCTTTGATGGGCAAACTGGGTTCATCATCCCCTAAGCAGGGACTGACCAACCGTTAAAGTGGCTGTTTGCATGGCCTTTCCGTGTTGGTTTATATCAAGACTCATGACCTTGATCGTTTTATCCTCATTCTTCGTCGGCTTGTCTGCGTCTGTTTCTTGGATCGATCCAGCATTATGTTTGTTGGCGGAAAGATCCCCATTTTGTTGATGTTTTTTAATTCGTCCCCATTTTTGTGGCTTACATTCCCAATTGTCTTTTTGGTTGTATCCTGCAATTTCTGTTGCTTATTATATGTTACTATGTTATGTTACATTATATTAAGTTCTACTATACTATATTTTATTGTATTATATTACATGTTTTCAAACTATGTCAAATATATGATATTATATTGGATTTTATCATATCATATTGTGTTATATTATATCATATTTTATTATATTTTATTTGACTATATTATATTATATCACATTATATTATATATTATATTCTATCATATCATATCACATCATATCACATTGTATTATATTATATTATTTAATGTTATATTATATTATATTATATTATATATTTATAGTCAGGGACACCTGGTAAACCGGGAAAGACACCTGAAAAGTTAAGAGGATCCATTTTTTTGCGGCAGAATTTTGTCCATTATTTGCTGGAGTCTTCCCGGCAGCATCCACCAGCTTGTGATTAATAGGCACCGGTACCACACAACATACACATATGGGTGTGTCTGAAAATAGTGTACCCCTAAACCCAATGGTTAATGATCATTATCCCTATTAAATGGCTATAATTGGGAATATACAGACAAACCCATATATGTACATATGTTTGCCACGATAAAAACATATCGACACATTGAATGCCAATGGCAAAAAACATCATTTTCTTACTTGTGCTTAGTAGGGAATTCTCTGGAATGATCCACAACAACTATCAATAATAATCCCATTCCCCCATTCTCCCATTCCCTACTAAGCACCAATAAGTGTTTTTTGCCAAAACCTATTTGAAACATGTAGATGTTCCGATTGGATCCCAAGGTCCCACCGTGCCAGGCAAAGCTCAGGGCCACGGAGTATGAAAAGTCGCAACTTCCCAGGGCCCCGAGGGGAGCGGACTGAACGGTTGCTTTTCCGGTGGGGAGATGATCCCAGAATGATACAGTTGCGACAAGGGCTTTGACCACTTACTTGAGTGAAATATGAGGGACCATCCCTCGCCTTAGTATATACATACATATATAAATATACATACATATATAAATATATATATATATAAATATACACATCACATGTATGTATATCAAAATTTGAATTCCATTTTCAATCGCTGCGAATAAAAGGGCATTCTTTCAGGCTGCTCAAATCTATTGGAGGGCCAATTGCACAATCAAGATGCAGATACAGTCATTCATACAGATTCATGGCAGTGCAACACATGAAGGACAGATGTCCAACTCATTTTCTTCCCCAAAGTCTTTCGAGTGAACGGTTTCCAATACATTCTTCAATTGCTTTCAAACAAGAGTTTATTAGATTTTCTCTTGATGATTTCCTGGAATTACAAACTGATAAATTTATCCCAGCTTTTCCTGGTTTTTTCCAATAAGAGTTGAATCCATTTTTGTTGGGATTTCCCTCCTGGGAAACTCCAACTCCGACGACCGAGGTCTTGTTGGTACATCGATCAGTTCGTGGACTGCGACGAGTTTCTTGCGGGAAGGTATTCCTCAAACGAGAACAGGCACGGCGCGTTTTGGTGTGAAGTTTGGGGCTGTTGAAAAACAACGAGAAGTGGTTGTTTGTGATGTGAAGTTTTGATAATTTTTGTAGATTTGGTGAAACGCCAATACGTGGTGTTTTCTTTGAGGAATAGAAACTGATATCAGAACTGTCGCGGGAAAAGACTAGTGACTAGGCGGATCTTGCCACTTCCAGTGTAATTGGATCAATCCCTTTCGCGGAACTGGCCGAGCCGATCAAGGTTTTTTTTTTTAAATATATATATATATATATCCCATGTATAGGCCATAAATTCATGGAATCTCCCCAATATGGGCCAATAATGGAATATCCATGTTTAAGAAGCTTGCCTTACAATTGCGATGCAAAGATCAATTTCAAGGCAGGAAGAATGGGACCGACCAAACGTGGTTCATCCCCGAGAGCACAACACGGGTACGACACGGGTACGACTGGGGACAACCTTGGCGATTCGCTGGGCCAGGACTTTAAGCCTTGGCACTCAGTACTGCGGGACCCCGGTGGGTTGATGGTGATATGTGAAAAAATCAGCAGCAAACGTCCAAGATGTATACACAAACACATACACATACACATATAAATGTACACATACACATACATATGCATATACCTATAGCTACCTACGTACAGAGTTAGCTAAAAAATAGTCTGGATATTTGAAACAGATCATACACGTGTGAAATCCCATCTCGATCCATTTTTTCGATAGCCCCCCTGCTGGAGTAGTTGGGACCAGTGAACGGATCCGGTACATTCCACGGTTACACGAGCTGGTTCTCCATGTTGGCAACATCTCAGATCTATGACATGGCTGCCCAACAGCCACAAAAAAGTCCCACTCTCCATTTTCGGCAGGCACAACAAAACCATGGTGCAGCTATTTTGTCACCGATTTGGGATCCATTTTCAGCTCGCCGAGGTATTGCTTTGGTGGACCTCTCCTCCAAGGCCAAGGTGCGGTGATTTTCTACGGGAGCGGGACATGGGATGACATTGTCCAGATGGGAACTTGACCTGGCAAGTAGCTCTCAGGTAACATGACTTGCCAGCCGCCAGGTGGATTTTTGCACTTTCGCCGTGAAATCTGGCGTAGAATGTACACTTATTGGGGCAATCGCAGGGCATTCATGGCAGACTGACCACTTTTTTCCGACGCCAGGAAGCAGCTTTCTGGTCTTTGATGATGGTCTTGGCTGTCTTGATTCAGATTCCTCTCTCCGTTGGGGCACCTGGTAGTTGCCGAGTGATGAATCCATGGAAATGATTGAAACGACTTGCGCTGTTGATGGACAGATACCCTCTGGTTATGACTAACAGTATGCCATGGAACGATCCATCATGCTATTAAGAAGGGTAAACCATCTATTTCGATTAGGGCCATCGTAATAACCATGGCAAACTGTGAATGTCATAACCAGGTTGGGTAACTGTCCAACAAGATGAGCCATGCAGTTGGATGATCCATATCTTGAATAGGGCTAGCGGCGAGCGCCCCATCCAGCTGGCCAGCTGGGTCATGTATGATTTTAATGTTCCCCTTAAGTCCCGGTCATTTCTTTGGATCGAACTTGATTCCATTGCAGAGGCAGTACCAGCTGGCCGTTGTTCCGTTTCGGAATATCCAACCTGGTTGAAATTCTCTGATCTGCATGAAATGTTTAGCAGTGATCAGGAATCTCGGTCCAGATGATAAGTGGGTCCTAGTTTCAATGCTTCGCGGACGCACAGATGCAGAGACAATTTCTCTCTGTCCAATCCTGAAGCGGTCTAGGTTTATGTGTTGAACTTGAAGATCTCTACGTGCGGGATCTACAAATTCTATTGCCGGTCGGTTGTGTGGGATTTTGTAGTTGAATTTTTCTCCACCTTTTCAAGATGCAGTCGCCTTTTCATGGGAGAAATGATAATGATCTCATGGTGCTCTTTTTTATTGCCGCTTTTCTTTTGCGTAGCAAAAATACGACATGAAGTTGGGATGAGGTATTGAACAGCACATGCAGTGGTAACATTAGGACTAGGAGAAGATTCCTCACCATCATCAACGTTGTACGGGAAGCAATGAGTGATGTGGTTTCGATCCGAATCAATGACGGTCCTACAAGAACAACATCTTGGTGCATTATTCCTAAAGGTCAATGGCCATTTCAGGAACCTAAATTGGAGGTACCTACCATATATAAGGCCTATGTTTCAGGGCTATGTAAGGGAATATCCCCACAAAATATGGCCTTATATGGTACAGTACCTCCATTTTAGAATCCTGAAATTCCCATTGAAAAGGATGGTGAAAATAGGGGACATAAGGGCCCTGTTTCTGGATTGGTTCGATAGCAGGTGCTTCATCTCGTCGACTTTCTCTTCACCATCTCCGGTCACCATCTATCAATCACCATTTCTTCTTTGACCACTTCAATGTAGATATAATATGATATATATATAATACTATAGACTATAGATACATCATGATATATCCTATAGATATATCCTATATAACTACTATTCTATCACTCCACATCTTCATCTTCCCATGTATATATACACACACATATATGGGGGTTTCCTAAAATGGTGGATATCCCCATAGCTGGATGGTTTTTGTTATGGACAATCCCATCTATAAATGGATGATTTAGGGGTACCCATATTTTAGGAAACCCATCCCCGACGGCCCGAGGTTCTCCACGACCTTGCTGCAGCCCCTGCGGTCCCTGGTGGACGACATGGTGGCCATGTCCAGCTTAGACTTGGCATCTCGGCTGGGGATAACCCCGATTAGAATGTTTGTGATATGTGATATGCATATCTCTTTATTGCGTTATTGCATATATATATATATACGTGTATATACATACATACATATTTGTATATATATATATTATATTATATATACATGATGTATGATGTATAATCTATGCATATGCATATGTAAAACTATTTCTATGGATGCTTAAGTAGAACAGCGGTATTTTTACACACTAAAACGCCTCATGTGAACCCCCGAGACTTCCACGGTCACGTCAACCAGGTGAAGATTGACGATCACACGGCACCTGGGATGTTGACCAGTAAGTCCAAGGACAAGATCAAAACCGCCGAGGAGCCTCAGATGTTGACGTTCTTCGGCGTTGAAAGAAATTCGATCGGAAAAAATCTGGTTTATCAGCACTTATCCTCTGAAATTTTCTCAGAAATCATGTGACAATAGCAGATTTAGTAGATTTCTATAGACTTCTAGTTTTTTCCCTAGGGTTTTCCCATGTTTTTACTCCTGAACTTGAATTTCCCGGTCCCTTTCCCACGCCGAAACCCCACGGAGCCACGGACCGCAGGAGCTGGAGAATCTCAACGCCGCCTTCCGAGCCATGCGTAGCGCCATCAGGTGGATAGCCAGTGGTGGATATCCTTGGGGATACCCTCTGGTTATGTCAACATAGCTATTGAAAATTGGCTATAGAAATAGTGGGTTTTCCCATGAATAGCATGGTGGATCTTTCCATAGTTATGTTAAACTAACTGAACATAAACATAGCCATGGGTCATTAAATGTCCCCATTGAACATCACCCAACCATGAATGGTATATGGTCTACTAGATGGCTACTATAAGGTTTTTCAGGTGATGTCCAATATTCCCAAAATGGGACAGTTACCAACCCCTGATAGCTATTGAACATACTCCATTTCTAGTTGATTGACCTATTCAAAATGGACGATTTTCTATAGCTATGTTAGTTTACCAGAGGGTAATGTGGGTAAAAACTATGCCATAAACCACCCATGACTGGGAATGGTAAACATACCACCTATTTTTTAGCTGATTTGGGGGATGGTTTATGGCATTGTTTTACCCACATTATGATTAACATGGAGATTTCCTAAAATGGGGGATCCTTAAAAACATAGTTCAAACTTGGATGATGTAGGGTATCCCCATTTTAGGAAACCTCCATGTAGGGATATCTATATTATATATTGGGATACTATACCTATATCTATAATAATTGGGTATCCCTATATTGGGATTTATCTAATATTATAATTAGGAATCATATAGGGACACCTGATATATTGGGATATCATTGGCAATGGGGAGCCAGTTGGAGCCGGCTGAGTTTTCCAACTGATACCCTCCAGGTTCATCCTACCAAATTACCCTCTGGTAAACTGTCCCATAACTATGGACAATCACCATGCTATTTTCATAGGTAAATCAACTATTTCGACTGGGCCAATTTTCAATAGCAAACGGTTAGTCATTACCAGAGGGTATCTACGATTGGGGTATTTTCCACTGCCACTTAAATGAACAATACGGGAGGGTATAAAAAGGATATTTTATGAGGATATGTCATGGGCTATACAGTATCATCTGGTTCTGACTAACATAGCCATGGAAAATCACCATGCTATTAATAGGTAAATCATCAATTTCTATGGGCCATCTATACTATGGCTATGTTAAATAACCAGAGGGTAACTACGAACAAATTGGTGAACCCCCTTTTCAGACAAACTGCTGAACTACTCGTAAGATCAATAGCCCCATTCTATCCCATGGTTTATCATAATTTTCTTAATTGTTCCATGGCCTTATATCGGGGGCCCATCCTCATCCATCCTCCATTTTCGGACCATCCCAAATCATATTATTGCCTATTGAATATCCCATTACATCCCATGGCACCCCTGTTATATACCCATTCTGGTTTGTGCAAACCTTTTTTCCCCAGATAGCTGGCAAGCTATAGGGGTTCTTACTTCTCAAAGGTGGGGTCTTCGGTGGCGAACTTTTGAGCAGGGTGCTGTGCAGGGTGCTGTGCAGGGTGCTGTGCAGGGCTGCTGTGCAGGGTGCTGTGCAGGGTGCTGTGCAGGGTGCTGTGCAGAGACTGCGGTGGCGAAGTCTGGCACAGGTGCTGTGCAGGGTGCTGTGCAGGGTGCTGTGCCCAGACTGCGGTGGCGAAGTCTGGCAAAGGTGCTGTGCAGGGTGCTGTGCAGGGTGCTGTGCAGGGTGCTGTGCAGGGTGCTGTGCCTGCAGATTGCGGTGGCGAAGTCTGGCAAAGGTGCTGTGCAGGGTGCTGTGCACCTGCTGTCCAGACTGCGGTGGCGAAGTCTGGCAAAGGTGCTGTGCAGGGTGCTGTGCAGGGTGCTGTCCAGACTGCGGTGGCGAAGTCTGGCAAAGGTGCTGTGCAGGGTGCTGTTGCAGTGGTGAAGACTGCGGTGGCGAAGTCTGGCAAAGGTGCTGTGCAGGGTGCTGTGCACTGTGCAGGGTGCTGTCCAGCAAGTCTGGCAAAGGCTGTGCGAGGGTGCTGTGCAGGGTGCTGTCCAAGTCTAGGTGCTGTGCAGGGTGCTGTGCAGGGTGCTGTGCAGGGTGCTGTGCAGGGTGCAGAGTGCTGGCAAAGGTGCTGTGCAGGGTGCTGTGCAGGGTGCTGTGCAGGGTGCTGTGCAGGGTGCTGTCCAGATGCGGTGGCGAAGTCTGGCAAAGGTGCTGTGCAGGGTGCTGTGCAGGGTGTTTTACACACTGCGGTGGTGAAGTCTGGCAAAGGTGCTGTCCAGAGCGAAGTCTGGCAAAGGTGCTGTGCACGGTGCTGCGCAGGGTGCTGTGCAGGGCGCTGTGCAGGGTGCTGACAAAGGTGCTGTGCAGGGGGCTGTGCAGGGTGCTGTGCAGGGTGCTGTGCAGGGTGCTGTAGTAGTGCGGTGGCGAAGTCTGGCAAGGGTGCTGTGCAGGGTGCTGTGCAAGGTGCTGTCCAGACTGTGGTGGCGAAGTCTGGCAAAGGTGCTGTGCAGGGAGCTGTGAAGGGTGGTGTGAAAGGTGCTGTGCAGGGTGCTGTGCTTTGGTTCCCACGTTGGGAACCATCAGTTCCAACCTTTAGGAATTGGAAGTTCTTTGCGATGGTAACCTCTAGTTCCCAGGTTGGGAAGCATGAGTTCCAACCTCTGGGAACCGGCAGTTGCTTGCAATGGTAACCCATGGTTCCCAGGTTGGGAACCAGGAGTTCCAACCTCTGGGAACCGGCAGTTCCTTGCAATAGTAACCTGTAACCTGTGGTTCCCACGTTGGCAACCGTGAGTTCCAACCTTTGGGAACCGGCAGTTCCTTGCCATGAACCAAACGCAAACATTCCGGTACCGGTCCATTGAGCAAAACAAAGCGTTCTTTACCGGCTGGGAACCGGCAGTTCCTTGCCATGGTAACCTTTGGTTCCCACGTTGGGAACCATCAGTTCCAACCTTTAGGAACTGGAAGTTCTTTGCAATGGTAGCCTATGGTTCCCAGGTTGGGAAGCATGAGATCCAACCTCTGGGAACCGGCAGTTGCTTGCAATGGTAACCTCTGGCTCCCCATGACTTCTAACCTGTGGGAACCGGCAGTTCTTTGCAATGGTAACCTGTGGTTCCCACGTTGGCAAGCGTGAGTTCCAACCTTGGGGACCCGGCAGTTCCTTGCCATGAACCAAACGCAAACATTCTGGTACCGGTCCATTCAGCAAAACAAAGCGTTCTTTACCGGTCCATTAAGCAAAACAAAAGGTTCTGTTACCGGCTCAGTAAACAAAACAAAACAACATTAAGAACCATGAAATTCCAACTTTTTGGAATCAACAGATCCTTCCACTGGTAACGTATGCTTTTTCAGCTTTGGAACCATGAGTTTCAAGCTTTCGTACAATGATAGCCACTTAGCTTCGAAAACATAAATTCTAACTTCTGGGAACCGGCAATTCCTTGCAATGGCAACCTCTGGTTCCCAGGTTGGGAACCGTAAGTTTCAAGGTCTGGGAACCGGCAGTTCTTTGCCATGGTAACCTTTGGTTCCCACGTTGGGAACCATCAGTTCCAACCTTTAGGAACTGGAAGTTCTTTGCAATGGTAACCTATGGTTCCCAGGTTGGGAAGCATGAGTTCCAACCTCTGGTAACCGGCAGTTGCTTGCAATGGTAACCCATGGTTCCCCAGGAGTTCCAACCTCTGGGAACCGGCAGTTCCTTGCAATGGTAACCTGTGGTTCCCACGTTGGCAACCGTGAGTTCCAACCTCCGGCAGTTCCTTGCCATGAACCAAACGAAACATTCGGTACCGGTCCATTAAGCAAAACAAAGCGTTCCTTGCAATGGTAACCATTTTAACATGGTTCCGAACAGTTGGGAACCAGGACCGGCTCAGTAAACAAAACAAAACAACATTAAGAACCATGGGAACCGGCAGTAACCTCCCAGGTTGGGAAGCATGAGTTCCAACCTCTGGGAACCGGCAGTTCCTTGCAATGGTAACCTGGTTCCGAAGTTGGGAACCAGGAGTTCCAACCTCTGGGAACCGGCAGTTCCTTGCAATGTTGTAACCTGTGGTTCCACGTTGGCAACCGTGAGTTCCAACCTTTGGAAACCGGCAGTTCCTTGCCATGAACCAAACGCAAACATTCCGGTACCGGTCCATTAAGCAAAACAAAGCGTTCTGTACCGGTCCATTAAGCAAAACCAGAAAGTTGTAAAGAAAATGTTTTCATATCATTTTAACATGCACCTTTTTCGTGCATTTTTTTTTTTGCCAGCCCAACAGCCAAACGCAAACATTCCGCTACCGGTCCATTAAGCAAAACTAAAGGTTCTGTTACCGGCTCAGTAAACAAAACAAAACAACATTAAGAACCATGACGTCTAACTTTTTGCAATCAACAGATCCTTCCACTGGTAACGTTACTTTTTCAGGCTTGGAACCATGAGTTTCAAGCTTTGGGAACCCGCAGTTCCTTACAATGATAGCCACTTAGCTTCGAAAACATAAATTCTAACTTCTGGGAACCGGCAATTCCTTGCAATGGCAACCTCTGGTTCCCAGGTTGGGAACCGTAAGTTTCAAGGTCTGGGAACCGGCAGTTCCTTGCCATGGTAACCTTTGGTTCCCACGTTGGGAACCATCAGTTCCAACCTTTAGGAATTGGAAGTTCTTTGCAATGGTAACCTATGGTTCCCAGGTTGGGAAGCATGAGTTCCAACCTCTGGGAACCGGCAGTTGCTTGCAATGGTAACCTCTGGTTCCCAGGTTGGGAACCATGAGTTCCAACCTCTGGGAACCGGCAGTTCCTTGCAATGGTAACCTGTGGTTCCCACGTTGGCAACCGTGAGTTCCAACCTTTGGGAACCGGCAGTTCCTTGCCATGAACCAAACGCAAACATTCCGGTACCGGTCCATTAAGCAAAACCGAGCGTTCTTTACCGGTCCATTAAGCAAAACCATAAAGTTGTAAAGAAAATGTTTTCATATCATTTTAACATGCACCTTTTTCGTGCAAAAACATTTTTTTGCCGGCCCAGCAGCCGAACGCAAACATTCCGCTACCGGTCCATTAAGCAAAACTAAAGGTTCTGTTACCGGCTCAGTAAACAAAACAAAACAACATTAAGAACCATGACGTCTAACTTTTTGCAGTCAACAGATCCTTCCACTGGTAACGTTACTTTTTCAGGCTTGGAACCATGAATTTCAAGCTTTGGGAACCCGCAGTTCCTTACAATGATAGCCACTTAGCTTCGAAAACATAAAATTCTAATTTCTGGGAACCGGCAATTCCTTGCAATGGCAACCTCTGGTTCCCAGGTTGGGAACCCTAAGTTTCAAGGTCTGGGAACCGGCAGTTCCTTGCCATGGTAACCTTTGGTTCCCACGTTGGGAACCATCAGTTCCAACATTTTCTATCTGGGGTCTATGCCGGTGTAATTTTTTTGTGGTGGTTTCTAACTTTTGTTAGATTTTATTACCATCCGGTAATTTTACACAGCTACGGAAAATGGCCTATTTATAGATGACTTAAATCGACTTAAATGATTTACCCATGAGCAGTTGAGATTTTCCATAGCTATCTTAAAAGTTACCAGAGGGCACATCCCCTTTTTTATCATTGAATCCCCGTTAGAACCGCATGGAATCATCAGTTTTTCACCATTTTTTTCACCATTTTTTCACCACGTTTTTTACCCATTTTTCACCCGTTTTTGGACCAACCTGAGTGGTTTTCACCGCGAAAACCGGTTGCAGATCTTGGTCACTCTTCGTGCCACCCTCGGTGGTGGAGAGATTCTACGATGCAGGGCTTGAGGCGCCCGATTCGAAGGTTTCCTGGTGGATTGATATCGGGATTTCTTTGATGTTTTCATGATGTTTTATGTTTGAAACCTCTGTGTTTGATCATTTATTGATTTTGTAATGATGACATATCGGGGTTTTCTTGAGGTTTCAACAATGATTGGATTATCATTTCTGGTTGAACAATGGTTTCAAGGTGTTTCACACATATCAAAAACATGGGCTCAATGATAAATGATGGTGGATCATTTTTCAGGGGAAAATCCTATCTCAAAATTGGGGATAATCCCGCTGGGAATCCCTGGGTGGAAAACCACCAAGCAGTCGAGCTAGGAACGACGGGACGAGCAGTTGTGAACACTGCGAAAAAATGTCTGGTTGGTGACTGGAACATGGCTGGATTATATGGCTGGATGATTTTTCTTTCCCATCATATTGGGAATGTCATCATCCCAACTGACTTTCACTCCAACATTTTTCAGAGGGGTGGCGAAAAACCCCCAAGGTCCGATGTTTTTGATGCTGTGATTCCCACTGGATCCAACCTCTGGGTGTCGCAAAATCTCCAGAAATATATCACCCCAAAAACCAATGGTTTTCTGTATACATAGTTCCCAATTGAACGGTGCAATTCGGAGATCGGAGCCATGTATAGTATTTCTTCTTTTCTGTGCAAAGCCACATGGCCACATAATATATGGAAAGGCAAATAATCTACGTTGTACAATTTGGACTTTCCAGCGCACTGTGTTTATTTGCTAGACGGTACTACGAATGTCTTCCAAACGTTTGAGACAAAAGCAACTTGACTGCTGGATATCTAGCAGATGAGCCGTTCAGCAACGGTCAGATTTCAGTTTCAGTCAGGCTGTTCTTCAGATCTATTCACTGGAATGTCCTCTCTGACTCTGGGTTGGCAATCTCCTCATTCTGGTTGGTTAAATTCGCTTATCTAAGCTTACTTGTTGCTTCTCTCCCCATGCTTTTTTGGTCAAATCCCCATTTAGGTTGGTTATGTCGCGTCGCTGACATGTATGATCGATGATACAGTTCATCCAGGGCATCCGTCATGACACCGATGCCAACATGACCAAGTCTCCATTTCTCCAAAGCAACGGAGTTTTCAGGTTTCAGCCGTTTTCATGGTAGATTTACCCTTTGAATAACTCATTTTGGCAACAGAACCCCAAAGCCTGGCACCCTAACCCCAAAATTGCTGATAGTTGTTGCTGTCCATCCCTCAAAAACCCAAATTGCTGATAGTTATCCATGTCCATCCCCCCAAAATGACCCAGAATTGCTGTTCAATGGATGTCCACCCCCTAAAAAATGGCACAGAATTGCTGTAGATCCATCCCCATGTTCAGGCCAAAGTGGGCGTTACGAGATGCGAGGCGGGGCCGTTCACTCGACGACCTGGAGACGCGAAATACGGTGGATGGCAACGCGAAATCCTGCACCACCAAAAGGATGGTTGAAAGTTGAAACCCCATCTGGTTGGTGGTTTGGAACATGCTTTTATTTTTCCATATATTGGGAATAATAACCCCAACTGACTTTCATATTTTTCAGAGGGGTTGAAACCACCAACCAGCCATAGATAATAGTGTTTACCACCTATCAACTGGTGCAGGATTTCGCAACCATCCACAGCAATGAACACCCCTCAAACAGACTCAGTTACTCAATCGAAACATGTTCTGCGCAAATTACACGAACGATCATGAACGTCTTCAGTCTGCAGTCTACCCTCTGGTAATTTAACATAGCTATTGAAAATCACCATGCTATTAATGGGAAAATCCACTATTAATAGCCAATTTCAATAGCTATGTTTGACATAACCAGAGGGTAGTACCAGCTAAATGCGAAGCTGGTTTCGCCATGTTATAGTGAAGACTGCCAGAAACTCTGGTGGAACACACGAACGATTTGGGAAACTTTTGGAGGTCCCCTTTTTTGGGGTTGTTAACAAGAGGTAGCATCGGATTCTTCAGGAGTCAAAGATCGTGATGACTCGACCTGCCAAACATGAGGATTTTCCTAGGGAGAAAACGAGATAGCAATAGAAATAGTCACTGCAAGGAATCCCATGTCCATTACATTTGGGCAACATTCTTTCTTGATGGCCTGTGTTGCGGTAGCAGATAGAGGTCCTGTTGCACTTGAACTCAGATGGGTCCGAATTCCAGAACCGAGAAACCACAGGAGTTTTGAGTGTTTGCTATCCATTTTTGGAGGTACGGCCAGGTCCCTTACTTCTGAATTAATGATATTTCCCTATTTCCGGGTGGCCATGGCCATGGTGGCCATGCCCAGGTCACGGTGCTCTTCTGTGACATTGATGGCTTTGAGGAGCAGCTACGGCTTGCAACCGGTTTGGGGTGAAATTCGGTTGGTTTTGATGTGGTGGCACCACTGGAAAAGTCTGAAAAAAACAAATCGTCACTGTCGATGTAGCCTTCCAGGTTGGTGGTTTGATCTGGATGATCCCGATCGACTGATAGTTGGTCTGGTTTTGGAAGCACCAAGCAATTTATGAAGCGGAGCACCGCCGCAAACTCCGCAGGAAACCTGCCGGGAGATTGATGCTGATGCTGTCCTTAGCAACCTCACAGGCGGGCCGGATCTCAGATTTTCGATTGGATTTTCCAAGAATTTTGGAACATCATCTGTGACGCGGGCAATTTTCATGATTAGTTGAGCCTCAGAAGTTGAGTGTTTCCATAGGACATGTAAGGAAAGGTGTGTTTTGAGGCGTTTAACCAACTGACTCTGATTTGGTTTTGTGAAAATAAGGCACCCCGCAGTTTTCATGGTTGATCATATCCTTTCTCCATCTTTTTCCTATTCAACTGGTCATTATATAATAATGCACCATTTTCAGAACATATTGTTGAATACATTTTCCATTATATCCCCACTAGATCATATCCCCATTATATCGCCATTATATCATATTATATCCCCATTATATCCCCATTACCCTCCTGTAATCAAACGTGGCAATTGGACTGTAATCAAACATGCAATTGGACATCCCCTATACATGCAGCTTATATTGAGGAAATCATCGAACTAAATGTGGGATTTTCCAGCGCGACAAGGAACTGATTACCGAAGCGTACATCCCAATTTAATTCTCCCAATGATATTGTAATAATTTCACACTTGTTATTCCATTTTCAGATCATATTGTTGGTTATATATTCCACCATATCCTTTTTACATATTCACTAAATATGTATATATATATAGTATCCCAATTATTATCCCAATCATTATCCTAATGATATCCCTATAAAGCAAAAAAAACACAGCAATCATCTTTCAGACCTGAAAAATCTGCGTTCCATTCCATCGAGTTTTCAAAAAAAGTCCTTGCTCCCAGGTTGCCATTAGATCCTCCGAGTCAATCGTTTCTCTTGGGCAATATCTAAAAAAGAACAGGCCTATAGTTCATGATTGAAAAATCGCCATGTCCATTTACTGTATTTTTCGTTTTTCCGAACTTTGAAAGGAAGACTTACTGGAAAGGCTCATCTTTGTCTGTTTCAAATCGATATTTTCCCGTAAATCAATCCTTGGAAAATCAATGACCCAGAAACAGCCAGGGGTTCTGGGCACCATAGCGGACGAGATCCAGTTACAGCAGGGCACTTTTCTGGAATTCATCAGTGACGAGGTGTGCTTTTTCGGTGAGGAGTGTTGAGCGGTGGCGAAGACGTTGGAAGAAATGAGTGAATGACGGAGGTAGGTCATACGTACATACATTATATACATGACACTACATTGCATTTCATTTCATTTCATTTCATTACATTCCATACATGTATACATAGTTATATTGCATTCTGATTTTCATCATTATCCAAACATGGACATGTCATCGCCTACATTTCTGGACATATTTTTTGTGCATTTCTACCTTGCTTTTTTTTGTTGCCTTGTAAACATGGAAATATGATCCAAATCATTCGGCAACCTTTAAGAGACGATAGGAACACATCACTGAAATTAGAAAGGCAAACCCCCCACACTTGATAAACCGTGGTTGGGTTTAGCGGTTCAGTTTTTTGGCCATGCATGGGAAAGAAATATGACTCTGACGCACGGAACCAAGACGGTTTCACGCCTCTCTTGCGATTCCACAACATGAAAGCAGGTGATGGCAGTGTTTAACGCGCCCAACAAGCTCCCGGGCCATGTGCCAAAGCTCAGTAGTCAGCAATTTGACGAAGGAGGTCAGGAAAAGTATGGTCTTCAAATCTTTAGTTCTGCCCTATGGAACCATGGTCGAAATCATCATGTTAGAATGATAGTGATGATACTGATAGTACTATCATTAGTACTCATCATGATCATCATAGTACTGGTAAAATCATATATGCATGTAAATATACACATATTTCTATCAATATACAACGGTCCGATTCAGATGAAATTTCAGTACCCATGACAATTACAATATCAATACTGTCAACCCCGGTTCAATAAAGCCTGGTTGATTATGTAATTGGGGGCTTCCTCCCAAGTAGTGAGTTCATTTGCTACTAAAATGGTACTTCCTTGGTTAGCGATGAGCAGCCCGTGCAGCCTGCGCAGCCTGAGGCATCTGCGGGATTGCAATGTGCCATTGCCATTCAGAAGGCGATTGAATTCGCAGTTCGCCTGCCTGTTCGCAGGCTGCTTTACGCTAGGTTTGAAGATACCATATTCACATATATCTATATTGAGTATGTAGAGTTATATAGACATGATATAGAGGTTTTTCTGGTTTGGAACATTTAATTAACGTCATTCACAGCCAGGAAGATGTCTAACTGCACCGTTAAGCCCGTTTTTTTTTGGGGAAGGATGGTCGACCATCCCCAATAGAGGTTGATGAAAAAAAGGGTATAACCATTTACATACTATACCCATCATTAGTGGTATACCCATTAATGGAATAGTGGTATCCCAATTGGGTAAACCATTTCCGTCTACCACTATTTGCGATGTAAAATGAATCCGACTCTAATGGTTGGTTCATGGGTTTAACCATGGGTTTAACCATCGGGGATGAGTCATGCATTTGCTGCATTGCTGAGTTCCAACTTCAGAAGCCCATCAACACCGACCCTGGATGAGCTGGGAGATGGTCCATCTGAAGTTAGGATGTAGCTGGCTTTCATATTCCATAAACAGTCCCAGTTCGGGTTGGGTTATAGATCTTTTATATATATATAATATCTATTATCTACGTGTACATACATATATATATATATACACATACACATACATACGTATATATCTATATATAGATATGTATGTATGTATGTATGTATGTATGTATATATATACACATGTACATATGTGTACATAGATATATGATGATATATGTATATATATAGAAAATACCTTCTGAAAAACTTTGCAGTTTATCGATCGTCACAGTGGTACCAGGATTCATAGCAAACTTTGGAATTCGGTGAACATGGCCAAAACTGCAAGGTTTCAGCTCCTTTTTAAAGCGAGCTTAAATCAGTGGGAGTTCTACACCACCGGGTGTTTGCCGCCGGCGTTAGGCGGTTCGGAAGCACAAGGTCAGGGTTGGTGACGAGGACCGGGTCGTGGTCCGGAGGCTACTCTCCAGTAAAGCAACAGTTTGCGATGGACAATTTACCATCTGGTTATTTAACATAGCCATGGAACATGGCCCATTTATAGATGGTTTACCTATTAAAAATGGTGATTTTCCATGGCTATGTTAAATAACCAGAGGGTACTATTTATTGACTATTTTTTGTATTCTGATTGAAACCATCCCAATCGCGGTCACTGATTTTGAAATCATTAGCCTCCAGTCAACTAAGATTGATTGATGATGTACCTATTAAACATGGTGATTTCCACGGCTATAATGTTACATTACCGGAGGGTAACTACGGAAGATTTTCTCAGCCTGGGGAAGGAGTTGCAAGGAGTTGGAAATTCTTCAGTAGCTGTTCTCTCGCTCCACCAGGGATGCCCCCTGTTCTGATTGGTGGTTTCGAACTTTTTTGCACTCCTTATTGCCCTAGGATGATGATCCCCAATGATATTTATTGGATGGGTTGGTAACTCTTTGCAACAAAGGAGTAGGTTTGCCGAGCTATTCTGCCCCACACACCAGGGAAGTCTGCGGTAGAAGCCTCCAGGTCAGGAGTCAAATGGGCTAAGAACAGATAGAAAATCAATGAATCCAATCTTCAGCACTATTAGACTCCCGACTCGTAGTACCCTGTGTGACTGGCTATCCCCAATGGCCCCAAGTAGTGAAATCAGGAGAGGCCCATCCGCGTGCGTGTCGGAGTCCACACCGTCCCTTGGCAATGGGATCAATGGTTGCCCTGGGGTCATAGATGTGGAAACCGGGATTTTTCAGTGGCCCACTTATCACTCATAGATGATTTACTTATAGAACACAATGATTTTTCCCATATCTATGTTAGTTTACAGGAGGGTGCTGGCAACAGTTTGCCAGCTGGAAAGTCATCATTTTGAATGGCCATCCATCATCGAAAAAAAAAAGGGCCATCATGGGTCATCCACGAAGGCGCCCCCAGATAGCGAGGTGTTGGTTTATAACTAGCTTAAGCAGGATTTACAGTAATAATGATACTTTTTATTAATGATTATTAATGATAACAATAACAATAACAACAATAACAATAAATATACAGTAAACAATAATACTTCTAACAATAATAACAACAATAATAATATTAAGAACTAACATATTATAACTAGAATTTATGGGATTAAACCAACATTATAACTGGGCGGCCCACCTTGTGGTCGGATATGGTTTGTGATCATCCGCCATGACCACATCTAACATAAATGGTGACCTAGTTCATAAACGACGGCAAAATATGGCCATAGGCCGTAGATACGTCTGGGTAAATTACACCAGAATGGCCAACATCATGACAAATGATAGAATTGTGGTGATCATACCCAAAATACATTTGGCCCTTATGACGATTTGCTCACACGATATGTTGCACCTAGGTAGACACAACCCTCATGTTCAGGTGGTTTAATCACCTCTGGAGTCAAATTCTCATTGTTTGATTTTCCTTTGTTGGTGAAAAAAAACTTTCGGAAACGGCTACAGTAACAACAGAAGTTGGTTACACTAACAACTTTCTATCCAACATCTTCTTTTCTTTTTAGATACATGGAACGGCCCCTGTTTCTTAAACCATGGTTTTTCATCCCATCTTTGGCGGCTTGGCGGCACCGAAACTCAAGGCTTCCATCTTGGCTGGGACCGGTCCTGGGGGCGGAACGGGGGATGCTTTTTACTCAAGAAACAGGCTGATTCCATCGGCAGAAATAGGGATTTAAACATATGGGAGTTTCTTAAAATGGTGGTACCTCAAAATGGATGGTTTATAAGGGACAACCCTATAAAATCCTATAAAAATGGATGAAAAATGGGGGTACCCCCTAAAATTAGGAAACCCTCATATTTCTCACGAGAATTTGGGTTCGGAGTCACCTGATTCAACAGATTCACCAGAACTTGGGATTCTGGCTAACGTGCTGAATTATCTCCAAGAACAATGGGGCATATAGCGACCAAAACTGAGAAGGTGGCTGATTTAAAATGGGGCCTGGAACCTGGTTTCATATTCGATTCACAGATCCTTGGACTTACACGCTGCATGTGTTGTGCAAGGCTACTTCAAAAGATCTCAGAGGCATTGCGTTCTTTTAAGTCAGCTTAGCACAGTTTAAGCATGTTTAAGCAATCTTAAACTCCTGCTGCTGTTTCTTGGCAGCTATAGGACAACAATCCGCGTCCTGTTCGGAGGTTGTTTTGCATATCTTCCTGGAAACCAATGCCAGCTCTGTGCAGGAACATTGGCTCACACCAAAGGATCAAGTACGGCTTGCTGGGCCACTGGGCGTTGATGACGCTGTACCAAGCTGGTGCTGATCCTGCCAATGATCTGGAAATTCGATTGGAACTTGCCTATGATTGGTCTGGTAGGCTGGTAGGTTAGCACTGGTTGTTGGGGTACCGAATGGGGCATAGTCATAGTAGTGCCGGATCTACTGTAGTCATTTTGGGGTCAATCCTGTAGTGCAGAATTGCATGGCTTTGTTTGCACATGTACCTCCAAATTCCAATCGTTAATGATCAATTTTATTTTGGGGTAAAGCCCCCTTTTTCAGACACCCGCATATCATCTTGTTGGTTATATATATATAAATAATATATATATATATATAAATGATATATATATATAAATATCTCAAATAATTTCCAATAGAATTACCACAAAATCGCCATTTTCACATGATTTATTGGGGCGTCGGATTGCCAACAGGTGACGGTGTGAACCTGGCTGCTCGAATGAAAGGACCGGCCTGGCGGAAGGGTGCTGGATGTGTGGAACCAAGGCATCATAACTGGTAGCGCAATAGGCTTAGAGTAATCCCCGAAACGGATGGAAAAGCAACATCCCATTGAAATTGTGGTCAATTACTTTTTGACATCTTTTTGGGGGTTACTGTACATACATACATATTTACATACATATTTACATACATATTTACATACATATTTACATACATATTTACATACATATTTACATACATATTTACATACATATTTACATACATATACATATACATATACACATCCACATCCACATCCACATCCACATCCACATCCATCCATCCATCCATCCATCCATACATACATACATACATACATACATACACACATACACACATACACACATACACACATACACACACACATACACACATACACACACATACACACACATACACACACATACATACAGACAGACAGACAGACATCCATCCATCCATCCATCCATCCATCCATTCACCCAAACATCCAAACATCCACACATACACACATACATGCGTACATGCGTACATACATACATACATACATACATACATACATACATACATACATACATACATACATACATACATACATACATACATACATACTACATACATACATACATACATACATACATACATACATACATACATACATACATACATACATACATACATACATACATACATACAAATATACATACATACATACATACATACATACATACATACATACATACATACATACATACATACATACATACATACATACATACATACATACATACACACATACATACATACATACATTCATACATACATACATACATACATACACAAATACATACATACATACATACATACATACATACATACATACATACATACATACATACATACATACATACATACATACATACATACACACACAGACACACAGACACATACACACATACACATACACACATACACACATACACACATACACACATACACACATACACACATACACACATACACACATACACACATACACACATACAGACACACATACACACACAGACACACACACACATACACACATACACACATACACACATACACACATACACACATACACACAGACACACAGACACACAGACACACACATACACACAGACACACACAGACACACAGACACACAGACACACAGACACACAGACACACAGACACACAGACACACAGACACACAGACACACACACACAGACACACAGACGTACGTACGTACGTGCGTACATACATACACGATATAACTGGGGATAGTCCATCAATCTAACATGGTGAACCAATATGCAATATATACAGATTACAACTGGAGATAGTTGATTTGAACTATATATATATATATTATGCAGTATTATTCACTGACTGGGATGCACCCCCAAGTATGTTCAAGCATGGATATGCGTGAGAGACTCACTGCAACAAAGAGACTCAAAGAGTGTGGAACATTACGTAAGGGTCGTAAGAGTTTATTAAGGGTTTATTGAGAGTTTATAGAGTTTATTGAGGGTTTGTTAACTGCCAACAACATCTAATCAGGGTTTCGGTTCATTTACCATCTATTATTGTGGGTTCACTCTTGGGGGGTTTTGGTTGAATCCCTATAACCAAGAGTGTGGAACAGCCTCCGGACGTAAAGATGACCCCAAAGCTTGGACTCAGACCCTTTTCAAGAGCTGTGAGGGTTTCAAAGAATGTTTCTTCTTGACACCTCTGGTCTGCATCAAATTCTACGGCCCCACAGAATCTGATGAAATTGTCGGGCCCCTAATGACCTCACCCCCGGTCTATGGCGATCCCATCTCCGAAAACCGCCATGGGTAGTGCCGCTTGCTGTCATCCTAGAAAGACATTGAAGACTGCAATGTTTTTTTGAAGCATGTGTTTCGGATTTGTGCATCCGCTTCAATCAGTTTTTGAGGAAGAAATTGCTTATGGTAAACCACATGTCTAAACGTTTTTGGGATGATGACCGCTGAGTATTCCATCCTTTTCAGGGGCTTGAATCCACCACAACCAACCAGCTTGTAAAGAAGCCATGATTCACACATCGCTGGATGTAAACCAGGACTCAATTCCAAGTACGGCACTTGCACTTTGTGCAGCCAGAATTGCTTGGCAGCTTCACGGCCGCAGGGAAGAGGACACCATCAAGGTATACATGGGTTGACTTCCCGTGACTCAAGGTGATAGAAGCTGATGGGTGTGTGTATATGTCAGGGGGACCCAAAATTATCATCCGATGTCATTTGTACTAGCGTTTTGCCCAATGGTCTAGAGGGGTAGGCCAAGTTTTGAGAAACGCCCATATTACCCTATCGCAGTACATCCCCTTCCTGTATATAAACCTGTTGCCCACAAAGGTGTTTGATCACTGAAAATCCTTGGGGAACCTGGGCGACTGAGGAATCATTGAAGCAGAATCCCTTGAACTTAGCGACCAGGTGAGTGCGACCGACGGGTATGGATGTGCTTTTTTGAGATGAAATGAATGGATGAGGAAACATTTTTCAGTTGACTTTCTTGGGGTAACCCCAGTATTTCACCCATGGAAAAAAAATCGAACCCTCTATTGGGCCCAAGGTTCCCCATTTGGGACATTCAGCCCGCGCTGTCAGCGGGAGAGATCCAAAAGTCGACCATAAATGCGGGATCATTTGACATTCATTTTTATAAAATGAGAATATTGATCATCATCATAAATCATGGCAGTTCCTGGTTCTCTCAACATTTTCAGACAAACTCAATTTTCTATCCTGCGGAACCAGCTTTGCGCCCCCTTTGCCTCAAACACATTGAGTGCTGCAATCGCCAGTTCTGGGTCATGTCTCCAGACGAAAACTAAAGCCTTGCCAAGGGGTAAAGCCCAGTGAAACCATGTGATTCTAATCGCAATCTTAGCAGTGGAACATCGTAGATTGATTGATATTGAGAATGGTGATTTTCCAGGCAGGTTACATGAAACCGTTTCGGGGAAACGCCCCATGTGCGAAATCATTGTACTGTAAACCCACGCCAAATCTCGGGTCGACCATAGAAACCCGGGCGTGGCAAGGCCGGTTGACTTGGTGGCCGTCAAGGGAAAGACTGAACCAACCAAGGCCGATTTTTGGGAACTGTTTGAAATTTTGACTCTTGAAAGAAATTTCGCATGACATATTTGGCCCAAAAAATTGAGTTGGCATTTGAAATGAGTCATCCGCGTGCCAAAGCCTTTCCTGTTTTGTCCTGCACAGATCTGCGAAGTGATGGGCTACCTGTCGGATGAGGCAAACCTGGCTGAGGCGCAGAGCGGCGTCTGGGCCCATTTTTGCCATCTTTTTTCCTGTGTAGCCAGTATAAATTCAGTATAAATCAGTGTAGCCATTTGATTTCAGGGTCATCTTACTTAGTCTTACTTGATCCATATCCAAATGGCCGGACTGCAAAATATGATCGGCAAGCACTTGTCATGAGCCATCCCTGAGCAAAGCCGACTTGCACTCACCGTGCGAATAAAAAAAATCAAAATATACATATATATATATATATTACATATATATATATACATACTACATAATAAAAGATACCAATTCTGAATTAGCCATGAGAGTGAAAGCCAGTGATCCTGTCACACCAGATTTCTGAATGGCCATTAGTGACAACTGGCTTCCTACATCAAAACCAGGTTCACCGTGGCCGCCAGGCGGTGAGACGCCACCAACGGGGCTTCGACCTCTACTTGGTCAGGGCACCCAGCGGCTACAGGGGCTTGACCATAAGAAAATTCGTCAAGTTTCAGAAGAAAGACTCAGGGCTGACCCGGCATTGACTCTAAGCATGGAGGATTTGGCTGTCGCGGGAACTTAACCAACAAGTTTCGGGCTAAAGAGCCCGACAGGAGAATTTCAGCAGCATGCTACAGCATATGGTAGACGGTGCACCAAGAGTCTTTTTTTACCCAACATTTTTTCTTTGTTCAAACATTGGACTAACTCTCCAGCCATTCCCAATGGCAGGATAGTTAGTTTTCCCCATGGCAGGAGAGAAAGTTCAAGCAGGCCAAAGAGAAGTTTGAGGAGGTGCCTCGGTTTGGTTTCCACTGTTCCCCACAGGTGGATGAAGGCTTGGACTGTGCCAGTGTACGTCATAAGCTATGACGCATAATATGTATAGACACATAGAATTTTGTACACATGTATATATATATATGTATACATACACGATTATATTATATATATGCAATGTACATAATGTACATATATATATATATGTATATACATACGCATTTGTATATACGATATCTTTATATAAAAAACAAACTTACCTAGATATACATATCCTTTACATATTCATATATAACTGGGGTATATCAAGGTATATCCTATGTGCAACTGAAGTATAGCCATACATAAGCAATTTACTGGGAGACACATCCAAGTAATGTTGGAGGCCACTTTTTCAGGGTTGGTACGGTAGTGGTACACTCAATTCAAAAGGGCTCCAACTGTTTTGTGGGCTTCAGCTGGGTTTGGCTTACCACAGGGAAACCATATCTTGAGAAAGCCTCTTGACAACCTCCAAAATCTGTCGAATTTTAGTCAGAAGCTGAGCCAAAGGGGTTTGTATCCGCAGTATGTCCCTCTTAAAGTACCATTCTGGTGGTGTATCCCATTTTAAGACATACCCCAAAATCATAGTATTGGTTTTTTATTACATGATATCCCATTATATTCCTAGTAAAATCCACCATTTGTGATGATTTTCCCCTATGTATTTAAGCAACCTGCGGACACAAACGAGCTTTGGCCCCCCAGACCCCATCAGGATCAGGATCAGCCAGGGGCTAACAACTCATATCAATGTATCTACGTCTATCGCACCCCCCAAAGATAGTCTCCAATGATTTGTATCACTAGTGGGACATTCACTTTTATCAATCTTTTTGGGGATGATGACTGTCTATCTATCTATCCACCTATCTATCTATCCATCCATCTCCATCCATCCATCCATCCATCTATCTATCTATCTATCTATTCATCTATCTATTCATCTATCTATTGATTCATCCATCCATCCATCTATCTATTTATCTATCTATCTATCTATTTATCTATTTATTTATCTATCTAATCTATCTAATCTATCAAATCTATCTAATCTATCTAATCTATCTATCTATCTACCTACCTATCTATCTATCTATCTACCTACCTATCTTATCTTTTCTTATTTTTTTTTAAAAATCTTATTTTATCTTATTTTATCTTATTCTATCTTATTTTTTCTTATTTTATCTTTTTATTTTTTTAAACTTATTTTATCTTATTTTATCTTATTTTATCTTATTTTACCTTATTTTAGTTTATTTTAGTTTATTTTATCTTATTTTATCTTTTTTTATTTTATATATCTTATATATATATTTATCTTATCTATCTTATCTATCTATTTGATCTATCTATTTGATCTATCTATCTGATCGATCTATCTATCTATCTATCTACCTAATCTATCTATCTATCTATCTATCTGAATCTATCTGAATCTATCTGAATCTATCTGAATCTATCTGAATCTATCTGAATCTATCTGAATCTATCTGAATCTATCTGAATCTATCTGAATCTATCTGAATCTATCTGAATCTATCTGAATCTATCTGAATCTATCTGAATCTGAATCTATCTGAATCTATCTGAATCTATCTGAATCTATCTGAATCTATCTGAATCTATCTGAATCTATCTGAATCTATCTGAATCTATCTGAATCTATCTGAATCTATCTGAATCTATCTGAATCTATCTGAATCTATCTGAATCTATCTGAATCTATCTGAATCTATCTGAATCTATCTGAATCTATCTGAATCTATCTGAATCTATCTGAATCTATCTGAATCTATCTGAATCTATCTGAATCTATCTGAATCTATCTGAATCTATCTGAATCTGAATCTGAATCTATCTGAATCTATCTGAATCTATCTGAATCTATCTGAATCTATCTGAATCTATCTGATCTGAATCTATCTGAATCTATCTGAATCTATCTAATCTGAATCTATCTATCTGAATCTATCTATCTGAATCTATCTATCTGAATCTATCTATCTGAATCTATCTATCTATCTGAATCTATCTATCTGAATCTATCTATCTGAATCTATCTATCTGAATCTATCTATCTGAATCTATCTATCTATCTATCTATCTACCTATTTATCTATCTATCTGTCTGTCTATCTATCTATCTATCTATCTCTCTATCTCTCTATCTATCTGTCTATTTGTCTATCTGTCTATCTATCTATCTAACTATCTATTTGTCTGTCTATCTACCTATCTATCCTATCCTATCCTATCCTACCCTATCCTATCCTTTCCTATCCTATCCTATCCTGTCCTATCGATCCTATCGATCCTATCGATCCTATCGATCCTATCGATCCTATCGATCCTATCTATCCTATCTATCCTATCTATCCTATCTATCCTATCTATCCTATCTATCCGATCTATCTTATCTGTCTTATCTGTCTTATCTGTCTTATCTGTCTTATCTGTCTTATCTGTCTTATCTGTCTTATCTACCTTATCTATCTTATCTATTTATCTAATCTATCTAATCTATCTTATCCATCTTATCTGTCTTATCCATCTTATCTATCTTATCTATCTAATCTATCTAATCTATATAATCTATCTAATCTATCTAATCTATCTAATCTATCTAATCTATCTAATCTATCTAATCTATCTAACCTATCTAACCTATCTAACCTATCTAACCTATCTAATCTATCTAACCTATCCAATCTATCTAATCTATCTAATCTATCTAATCTATCTAATCTATCTAATCTATCTCATCTATCTAATCTATCTCCAATCTATCTCTAGTCTATCTAATCTATCCTATCTAATCTATCCTATCTAATCTATCCTATCCTATCCAATCTATCCTATCCAATCTATCCTATCCTATCTATCTATCCATCCTATCCTATCTATCTATCTATCTTTCTTTCTTTCTTTCTTTCTATCTATCTACAAATATATATCTATCATGGTTAGTAAGAGGAATCATCCCAAAATGGCCTTATTTCAGGCTAGGGAATTATTATAATAATTTACTTATATATATATACACATTTCTACAGATGATATGGATATACAGTACTCGGTCCGTCAGGTGGGATCCTTTCTGGCTGTGGCGGACTATGCCCTGGAGGATGAGACGTGACTTGGAGGAGATTTCGATGTTTTTTTGGGGGACAGGCTATAAATGTAGGTATGATATGGTATGATATTAATGGATTAATATTTTAATATGGCATGATATTAATGGATTAATATGGTATAATATGGATTCATATGGTATAATATGATTAATATAATACAATTTTTGTAGGTATGATATGGATTAATATGGTATTTATGGTTTGGATTTGGATAGATTTGGATAACTTTGAAACCGAAGAAACTAAGGTCAAATCCAATGATGAATCCGCAATAGGAGTATATCAGGTTTATCATTGGGTATACCTCTATTTGGGATGATCAACTGAGGTCGCAGATGATGATCGATCGCTGCGAGGACTCGGCTTGTGATCAACTCCTTTGATCAACTCAAAAAAAAACAGGGGGCATTTTTAGGTCATACCAGGTTCTGAGTAAAACGTCTTGATTTGATCTGATTTTTGGAAGACCAAGGATCTTGAAGCAAAGAAAAAGTGCACGTGCTCCGTAGTTCAGCGATGAGAAACTGTGTGGCTCTGTGGCAAGCCTCCATTGGACGAATTCACGGAGCGATTATTCTTTAGACCCTGGCTCCAGGTATGTATATGCTGTACAATGTATATACATATATATATAATTTGTTTATATATATATATTTATACACATATACATATCTATGTCTATGTACTGTATTAGACAATGCAATACATTACACAATCTATCTTTATATAAGAAGTTCTCTGGCCTTGGCTGCTGAAGTTTGGAGATTCGGGCCGAAGCCAGGAGTACATGAAGAACCCTCCACCCGCCGAATGGGACGGTGTCGAACATCTGAAATCCAAGTCGTGTGGAATCCAAGGTACTGGCAACTCACGTCGGCAGCATCATAGCGATAGAAAATACCTTTTGTAATGATAACAATAAGGAGAATGAAACAAGATAATCCTTAGAATGTTGATTTCATTGATTCATCCTGATCATGGGAATCATCATGAGAACAATATGACAATTATGGTAGTAACGATCCATCAATGATAATGATAGCCATCAAACACACATTTTTTTTTAATGCAAGTGCAAACAATCACCATGAAAGTTCTGTAAGCAATAATGATTGACCTATATTGACCTATTTACAAAACTTGCTTTCTCAAAGTTTGGGATAGCTTCATGGAATCTGGAGAAACTTTAACAACCGTGGCGGGCAACGTCACTGGAATGAAAGGTGCAAAAGGGATCCCCAAAACGTCGCCTTCTTTGAGCTTCATCTTCCCGGGGAAGCGCCGCAGGTTTCAGGTTGGCCAGAGACAAAAATCGGCCGCCAAGATGACAGAGATGGTGCCTCGGTGGCTTCATTTCGACCGCTCAATTGGCAGTGGGGCTTTGGATGATTTTTCTTTTCCCATATATTGGGAATTTCATCATCCCAACTGACGAACTCCATCATTTTTCAGAGGGGTAGGTCAACCACCAACCAGCACTGATCATGGCCATTTTGGGGTTCCATGTTAAATTCAACAGCAACGCTTTTTTTGGATGGGATCATCAACCACCAAGTGGTGTTTTTTGGCTTTCAAAAGTTCAAATATTGGGAAGAACTTAAAAGCACCGTTGTGCCGTTAGCTGCCAGGAGAATGACACATGATCCGCGGGCCCTATTCAATCAGTTGGAGGGTCATCTCAATTAGTATGTATACATAAATATATAAGTGGCAAAAGAGGCTTTTTTTTTATCATCCATATGAGCACATACTAGACACAATTAGTATGATATATACACATATTAGTGGATATGCCATCTGTATTTACTAACCGTCTTTCAATACGGTTAGTATCCGACCATCTGACAGGGGGAGGAAGCACAACAAGCGAAGATGGCGCAGGAGAGGGTGTCTTGGACTGGGTGAAAATTTCTTGGTGCGTTAAACACGTAGGGTGGCTGGATGGGTTGCTGGGGGTTGCTGTGATGATGAAATTGATAGTTAGCCAGTGGATCATTCCCAAAAATTCCCTACTAAGCACAAGTAAGTAGTTTGGGGACTACAACCAATAGACATATGTACTAAGCAACTAGTATAATGAGATGGGATGGAATTTTTCAAGGCTCAATTTATGATGCATTGTAAGAGGGAGTTTCCCAGTAATGATTTACTGAACATGTGGATTTTACCCCAGCTATCATATGGGGGTTTCTTAAAATGGGGGATCCCTAATAGCTGGATGGTTGATTTCATGGAAAATCTGATGAACATGGAGGATTTGAGGGTACCCAGATTTTAGGACATCTCCATATCTATTCTGAAGGGATGTGTTTCTTGGCCTTGGCCAATCTTTTGAGACGAGCGGTTCAACAACTGGTGATGGCTATGACCTACCCAGAAATGGGTATCACATGGTGATTTATAGTGGATTTACCCATTGAACATGGTGGATCTTTCCATAGTTATGTAAACGTTTACCAGAGGGTACTCCTCATGAGCCCTGATTTCCCCAATTTCCGGTTGCTTGAAGTTGTTTTTCTTCCCCACTTGATTCTGGTTCAACAGTGTTGAACATATCACAGCAAATCCACCTTCCCCATTGTGATCGCTTAAAGAAACCATAAACAAACCCACTTGTGACTGAGATATTTGGGTTCATCCAAAACTGTGCTATACCTGTGCAAAATTGTGCAAAATGTAAATGGGAAAACACACGATGAAGCTGTGGATAGAATCTTTTCTTTTCCAAGAGTTTGGCATTCAGCTGCCTCCAAGGCCAATGGTATGGTGCCAGAGGAAGAAATCTTCCTCTTAGCCTCTCAGCGAACAAACCGCCCTGTTGATTGGTTATTGGTTGATCGATTATACTGCCTGGTTGATTGGGAATAGTTCTAATAACCCGTGCAACAAGATAGAACTGGGATTTATAGGGATATAATTGTGATATAATGGGAACACAATTGGAATATACGCTCTGGTATCATCAAACATGGCAAGCTGGGAAATGCCCACACTAGCCATGGAGGTCTCTAGCTAGGAAAATTACTTGTAAATTGGTGGATTTTCCAGCACGCCATGTTTACCAGAGGGTATACTGTACTGGGAATGAATATAATTACAGGGATAACCCAGTAAAACAAGATGGCTTTTGTACTTACCATTTGTCTAAAGGATGTGGGATATTCCAGCCAGTTGTTATTCTGTTTTAAAACATATCGTTCTAGGAACCATCATTGGTTCACAACGGCTCGTCGTTTCAGTCATTCCACATGTTTCCCACGTTGAAGGGGATGGTCGCCATGTTAGGGTTCAAACAAACCAACAAAATAGGTGAATGATATCATATGATATCTGTTACCCTCTGGTAATTTAACATAGCTATGGAAAATCACCATTTTTAGTGGGTAAATCCACTATTTCTATGGCCATTTTCAATAGCTATGTAACAAATTACCAGAGGGTATCTGTTAGAAAGGAACCATATTTTTATAGGCCTCAAACCAACCATTTTTTTACACAGGGGGGGTTTGGTGGGTCATATTTTACCTCTTTATCTTATGCCCCATGTAACTTGACCACGGCGACCACGGTGCGTGGCCTGGGCTTTATCGTCCGCACCCAAGCAATTGCCTTGTGGAACACCTGGTAATTTTCGAGAAAGTTTAGGGTTGTGGACTTGCCACATTAGTTCACCAGTCATCTATATGGTATATACCCTCTGGTAATTTAACGTAGCTATTGAAAATGGCCATTAATAGTAGATTTTCCCATTAAAAATGGTGATTTTCCATAGCTATGTTAGTTTACCAGAGGGTATATATATATACATACCGAACATTATCTAACTATATCTAACTAAAGTAGAAATGAAGATGACCAGAATATACCTGAAGACACCTGCACCCAAGGTAAAAGGATAGATAGAAACGAAGATCGAAGAATTGATAAAGAGCCGAGCAAAACCAGGAACATCACAGATGCAGAGAACGATGGATGGATAGCTAGAACGATAGAAAGATATCTATTTCTATGGGCCATTTTCCATAGCTTTTTGTGTGTTTACCAGAGGGTACAATGTGGGCCCCCCAGTGATGTGAATGATGGTTTATAAACCCCATGAATACGAGTTCGTAAACTGATGGTTTATAAACCCCAACTTAGCCAGAAATCCCCCAGAAATCCCATAGAAATCCCATAGAAATTCCATAGAAACATCAAAGAAATCCCCACTTTGTATCTACCATAGAACCATCGAAATTCTTCACCTCCTCGGAGGCCGATGAAGAGGACACCCACGACGACGACGCGCGAGCCAAGCCGTGAAAAGCTTGGGGATTTTTTGCCAGTGCAGGTTATGAAAAACCATCAACTATTGGAAATATACTGGGAATATTAGCAGTATAACTATACTGGGAAATAATATATACTATTAGATCTATTAGTATACTGGGAAATATATACCACTTATTATACCTTGGCAACCTATACTGGGAAATAACATATAGTATAACTATAATAGGTGGTTCAAGCATCAAAAAGTAGGGTTGCCAAAGGAAAGATGGATCTAAACGGCAACTCAAAGCACCATCCTAACAAGAAAATGGCTCAGAAATCCGCGGTACAAACCATAGAAACAGAGTGCTTTCAAATCCCCCAAGACCAATGTTCCCCCCAAACACGTGTTCCGGACATTGAATTTTTGCCCGTTAGGAGTAAATAGCAGAGGAAACACAACTGAAACATTCAACTAAACATCTAATTTGGTTGACATCCGGCTTTGTGTGAGCATGCTTGACCTCTCACACCACATTCCTTTGGAACGCGTTTTTCTGATAAAATGGTCATTCAGATACCTTCAACACATATATTAGCACATGATATATTAGTCCCATCCAAGTTGGGAAGTTGGGGCAGTGAGATAACCCCAATCATATGGGGCAGTTCAAAGTCACCCTTTGGGCAAGCTGTTGCCCCTACTTTGTTGGCCCCGTCCAAGGTGTGCGAATGCCTGCACGTGGAATGCCATGCTTTGCCGCAGCAATCAGGTAGATCATCGATGGGTGGCATATTTTTTCGTTGGTGACCTTCTCATTAAAACATCGGGGATTTCAGCACCCAGATTGTATCACCATTTGTCAATTGGTTTCCAGTTTTTTTGACTAGGTTTTGAAGGCGTTTGGAACTACAGACTTGGTTTAAGGTGACGTTTAATATACAGGAACCCCAATATTTGGACGGTTCACACAGTTCACACCATGTTTTTTGCGCAAAGTATAGGGACCCCGCAAAAACGACCTCACCACACGATGGTTAGCAGGGGAGATCATCTCCCCAAAACATACCAACATGTGCTGTGAATTACAGTTTATTATTGTTTTACCCACATTAATTTGAGTCCTTTCCCTTTTCCTGCAAAGCCAGTGATCGATACGTCCAAGCCGACGTCAGGAGGAGGTTGCGCCCGTGCAGGCCGGTCCTCACCGCATGGTGAATCCCACTTTTACGTGGGCATTTTACGTGGGTACCATCTTGGTTCACCAAGTCATGGAATATCCCCAGTGGGTTATCCTATATTATATGATATTATATGATCTTGTATGATATGTGGGTTAGCATTTAGGAACTCGGAGCCTACTGCTTGGACGTGGCATACGGGCGCGGGCGAGAATCAGGTACCCACGAATTTGGACGGGTCATGCCACAAATGAAAGTTTGGACCAATCCCTATACACATCGCGCAGTTTTCCTGCTAAGAATCCTCCACATTTGGTGCTTCAGAGCCTCATGGTTAGTCGATGTTAGTCGGGTTACACCCCCCAACTAACAGTGAATAGTGAAGCTTCTTGTTAGGTTCCGTTGCGAAAACTGCTATGATCCTGGTGGTGAGTGGTAGTGAGTAAGAGAGTAACCGAAGGGCCAATAGTAGATGAGATGCTGAACATATGGAACAGGGTCAACTTTGATGAACCCCCCGCGTTATTCAAATGGTCCATGTTGGGATGGGAACGACAACCCCATTTTGGGCATTGTTGAGTATTGAATCATGCCATGGTGAGATGATAATTCAAGTTCGTACATGTCGAGGTACAACCCCCTTGGTCGGAGCATTTCCAGAAATTCAGGGGAGACCTGAGCATATCACCAAGTTGCGGTAGAATTGGTTGAAGGGGAACTTCACTTCGAAAACACTTTTTTTTTGAACAAAAATCCATCGATGTTCCGATTTGCCATCAATCCATGGGCGAATTATGTCCATTCATAGCGTGTTCATAGGCCCAGTTTCATGGGATTTTCCATAGCAAAAACCATCCATTCTACCCCTATTTATGGACCCCCCCCATGTTTTTCCATGTTTTTCCCTATCAAACCTAGCCCCTAGGTTCAGGCCGCGTCCGTGCCAACCCTGCTCGACATCTGATGCGCGGGGCCTGCGGGGCCCACCGCCGTTGTTGCGCTGCCGAACGGCAGGGGAGACGGCGCAGTTCTACGAGAAACGACGGAGTGAATTTTTTTCCGCACATCAGCCGTGTATTTTCACCGGCTGAACCACCATTTGGGTCCAAAAAATTCGAGATCAGCCCAAGTTGTGAGCTTTTCTTCGCCTCTTTTGGAGCGGGTGAACAAGAAAACATGGTGAAATTCGAAGAACTCCCTATTGGTCACTTAAATCCCATGAACATTCGACAATAGTTGGCGGGTTAATCATAGATAATAATAGTTAAGTCCCAACTGACATTCGATAGTTCCATTGCCTCCATCGTTCTGGGCATCGATTTTTGGGCCTTTCCAACGTGGGTTTCACGGCGCTGGGATTCAGGGGATCCTGAAATTCCAGAAGCAGCACAGCCTCAGCGGTGTTAGATCAAGACTGAAAACATGAGAAACCTTTGGGATAAATGGAAATTGCATGAAATTGCCTATCTCTCTCTCTCTATATATATATATCTATGTATATATATATGTATATATATATGTATATGTATATATATACACGTATATCATTATATGATTATATAATTATATATCTACACAATTCTCTACATGTAATTATATATATATACATGTACACATACACAGATAGATATGAAATCGGATTGGCCTGGATCTTTGTCATAACCTCTCGGGTTGTCGGATGGTTGTGGCTGCTAGTAGATCTTTGTGTAGGCCAACTTTGCCGCAGAATTGCGGCAGGAAAAGGTGCGCTGGTCATCAGCTGGTGATTGTCACGATCGTCCATTGCTCAGCGAGTGGACACCACACCACTGGAGCATGCTTCAACATCTGAAAGTCATTGGCATGTTGGATGATAGCTCTGCAAGTCATCCATTGTTTTGGGTCATATATGGCCACAATAATGCAGTCACACTTCCAATTTTATCTTTACGTTCCATTCTGTTCGGAGATTGCCCTGGCGGGTCCACAGATTTGTGTCACTGTACTAGGCACCGGGTCCCCTTCTGCTTAAAACTTCCACACATAAAAAGCATGCCTTTGGATCAAGGCATTTGAGGCTGTGCTCTGTAGATACGCACTACCTATATGGGGCTTTCTTTCCTCAAATAGGGGTACCCCCAGTCATCATCCATTTATACATGGGATTTTCCACAACCAAAACCATCCAGCTATGGGGTACCCCCATGACTTAGAAACCCACCAGATTCTTGCAGATCTTGGCAGTGCCATGGAACCATCTTCCAGCACCGATTTTTTTTTGGTCAACCACCAATTTGCCCTTACTTGAACGTTTGCAGCATATATATTTATATATATATACACGTATTATATATTATATATGTATATTATATTATCTAATATATATATATATATATCATATATGAGCAGGGATCACCAGCCCCTCCAGCCAGATGGTTCCCCCCGGCTGCCTGGGGTGGGTTCCCAGCAACCGTCGTACATGGGCACCCTATGCACTGAGTCTTATATAGGTACGCTATGACACATGTGAAGGTTATATATGTAGGGTGTAAGGAGTACATAGGCGGTAATGAAGCAGTGTATATACTACACAAGGGTGCATAGTGTTAGTCGGGCATTTATATTTAGGTAGTATATATATTATACATATATATATATACATAGATATGCAAATGTATATATATATGTATACATATATATATGTATATATTTATATCTGTATGTGTATGTGTATGTATATGTGTATGTGTATATGGATATGTATATGCATATGTATATGTATATGTATATGTACATGTCTATGCATATGTATATGTTATGTATTTATCGACGCATATTTATGTATGTAATGTAATGTAATGTTATGTTATGGTATGGTATGGTATGTATGTATGTATACACGTATCTATAGATGTGTGTATGCGCATGTATATATATATATATACACGTATATATATATATAACCATATGTATACTTTTTTTGTTTGAATGGTACATCCTGCATGCACGCATATGATGTGGATTATATAGGTATGCATAGGTACGCTTTGAACATATAATCTAATCTATAGGTAGCCAAATATGGAGTATAAAGACATACAATGAGTGGCAAAACATGTGTGAGGTACGCTATAGGCAGTATTTTGTGTATGGGCACGCCTGTGCAATGAGTCGCATATAGCCACCCTATAAAACATGTGTAGATAGTATATGTAGGGTGAAAGGAGTATATGTACACATACATACATGCGTATATATGTATTTACATGTGCATACATGTGTACATGTATACATGTATACATACATGTGTACATGTATACATGTATACATACATGTGTATGTACATATGTATTTACACGTAGCATATGGACATATATATATATATAGGTATGTATATACGTATATATATATATATGTATGTATATACATATATACATATACGTATATATGAATATATATATATGAATATATATATATATGAATATATATATAGATATATACGTATATATATATATATATTTACATATGTATATATATATATATGTATGTATATATGTATATATATATACACATATACATATATACATATATACATATATACGTATATACAGATATACATTTATACATATATACATATATACATATATACATAGGAAAACCATAGGAAAACCATAGGAAAACCATAGGAAAACCATAGGAAAACCATATGTCAATGGATTGGTTTAAGGGAAACATTACAGGAAAACCCTATATCTAATGGGAAAATCCATGGTTTCCTGTAGATTTTCCCAACAAAACCAATCCATTGAAAAATGGTCGTAATTCAGGTTAGTGAACTATTCTAATGTACCCAGATATATACATGTATATGTGCATATGTTTGTGGTCTTGTTTGTTTAGCAATGTAGTTCTGCCAGTTGTACTCACTGATATAAAAAAATATCAAGTTTGAGGATAAGCCAATTTCAACCATCCCATTGGCCATGGACGTGGCGGACCCCGACGCCTTTTTCGAGGCTGCGGAATGGGAATCCGTGAAAATGGTGGTGACGGGTACAAGGCATGGGAATCCCCATGATATGTATCGATGATGTAACCCCAACAATAAACAATCCCCAATATTCGCATGGGTGGTGTATACCATCTGCAAATGCCAGGCTCATGGCATTGGGTTTAATCACCATATTAGATGAATTTAGATGATATTGATCAGGTACATATTTTGTGCAATCAAGAGAAGGAAACAATACCAAACCATATTGTATGCAACTTCCTTGCTGTACCACATCGTTGCACTACAACGGGTACTGCGATCTGGCGATCTGATCTGGCTGACAGTTGCCGCTACGAAGGGACTTGGCCCATCGTTGAGGGGAGCGTTTCCAAACTTGTCATGCAGCAGAAGTAGCCTTGAATGACCTTTTTGGTGGATCCGATTGTCAACAAATGGTTCAATGGTGGTTTGGTGCTCACTGGTTTGGAACAGCATCCCCATATGAAAGGGAGTATCCCGTGCAACCACTAGGCCCAAAACCACCAGCGAAACCAATGGTTGAGATTGATTTCTAGAAGTCCTAGTTATCTAGTTTGAGAAACAAAACTTGTTGGTTGGCCATTTGAAAGAAAACCCGCCCTCTTCAGCAGTTCTTTGAAATCGGATGATGCCTTTTTGAACAGACTGGGTGTTCATAGTGACCTTCGTCAGAGTGAACTGGCGATTTTGGTATTTTTGGTATTTTGGACCACCATCACCATCCCTTCAATATCTTCAATGAACATAGATTCTACCAGGGGGTTGGAAGATTCCTCTCCACTCAACACTGCCCAAGCCGTCCCAGGAGGACAACTTGGTGAAACATGCCTTGCTCCTTGGCGCCGGGCGAGAAACAACATGCTTTTCACGGAAAACATGGTGGTTGAATGGGAGTTTATGGGATTAGGAGTTTTTTTTCAAAAACACACCATGACCTAAATTTGATTCCATTTGATATTTCATGTTTGATATTCCATGTTTGATATTCCATGTCGACATCGAGGTACGGCTCCTCGCAGGTGGGTTGTTCTGCAGACTGGGATGGGGCCATGAATTGAATAACCACAAAAAATGCCTCTGGACTGGGAGCCTGGTCATTTTTGATCATTCTATAATTCTATATAATATATATATATATAATATAATATATAATATATATAATATATATAACATAATATAATATAATATAATATAATATAACATAATATAATATAATATAATATAATATATATTATACATATTATAATGATATCTTTCTCTCTCTCTCTCTCTCTCGATACATACGTACATGTATGTATGTATATATATATATATATATGTGTTAACATATTCTATCTGTTCCTGTATCTGTTCCTGGGCCACTCACTTAGTACTTCAATTTGCGTAGTGTTGTTCTGTCTCAGTGACAATCATGTGGCATGAGCCATACAATCCCTGGTCGTTCAGAATGTAGAGTTGTCGGCGGTGGCCTGCCTGAGTCACTTTTAGCTTCCTCGTAGAGCTTTACACGTTAGATTTTTCCAGTAAGATAGTGGTACAGCGTAGCTAGCCAAAGTCTGAATCTCAGAAGTGCCTGCCACGAGCGAATGGAGAAAGGTTGGAGCAGAAAAGTTCAATATTGCCCGAAAGCAGCCATGGAATTGGCCGTATTTGAAAATCCAGACACCTCGAAAAGTCCCGCAATTGGTCCACGCCAAAAAGTTTTGTGGGGTTACAATCAAGGTTCGAGAACAAAGATATGTTCTTCTGGTCAGTTGTACAATATATATATAATATACATATATATATATATATATACATACATACATGTATAGAAGTATAACGTACATATACTCCTACCCTCCGGCAAGTCAACAAGGCATGCTGGAAAATCCTCCATGAAAGTCATGAAACTATAGAGTAACCGGTAAAATTATTGTGATACTAATTTAGTCTTGCTTCACCTTGGCCTTGAGGGCTGTGCAAACCTTCATTACCGATAGGGGACGACCCCAATTTCGTTCGCCATTCAGATGGCTTCAGATAGGTGGACCCGCTGAACGAGCTGCGTCAATTGGAGGTGATCCTGGTTTCACCAGGGGATTTAGAGATTTCACTGCAAGTTCAATAGGCAAAATGACGAGTTTCACTTGGTGCTTTCGGAAATTTCCCCAGCATTTTCAGACCAAGTCCATATAAATTCATGGGGATTGGGGATGGAATGGGCTGTTTTTCCCCAATATTTTCACACCAAGACAACCAGGTTGATACCTTGGAACATGGTTTTTATTTTTCCATATATTGGGAATGTCATCATCCCAACTGACGAACTCATATTTTTCAGAGGGGTAGGTGGTCAACCACCAACCAGCAACATGTGTGTTTTTTTGTTTGGTTGGATTGAACAGAGAAAGACAAAGGTGACCAGTGAACGATGACCCTTCCGATGAGAAGGGTGTATGTTTGCCGCTTACGAACCATTTAGACATGGGGGAGTTACCTATTGGGGGGGGGGCTTGTTGAATTTCCAAGATGAATCATTTGTCTTGGGATCAATTTTTCAAATTATCCAGATTGAATTTAGGAAATGGCAGGATTCTCATGGACAACTGGGTAAATGCAGATCATTTATGGGTATTATGAACTATGACAGACTATGACAGCTTAGTCATTGTAATCCCTGGGAGATTGCAGACCTTCTCTAGAATCAAACACCCAACGCTGGAAAGCGAAAGGTTTGTGCGGTGTTCCTCTGATGAGATACCGATCGTACATATTCTGCGATGTTCAAGAGGGACTTCCTTTGTAAACTTTGTATATTTACATTTCAATGAAGCATAAGCATGGTGTGCTGAGAAGCATGTGGGTTTTCCATTGCCATATGACTTGCGATATCATTCCTTGGAGGCTTCTTTTCACACCACTACTTCGACATGTTTCCCGTACTTTCCTGTTTTCTCCCACTTCATTGGTCACCAATGCAGATGTTTAACATTCTTCAATCCCACTAAGTTATGCCACTTCATAACACGCCCATATCCACGAAAGTTATGCAGAACACCAATTGTGTTCACGATATGTGACTGATGGCATCTGAGCAACGTTCACCGGGTGTCACATTATCCCATCGGGGGGTGAGGTACAGCGACCTCCACGTTTGAGCAGCTCCTCGCCGGGGGTGGCGTTCCTGAACCCAGCACAAAAAGCGGTGACTGAGACTTGATATTCTCATGGATATTTAATGTATTTCTTGTATACATGTCTGATATGATATGAACACATGGATTTTTCATGTATATATAAATATACCATATATATATATATATATATATACATACACATACAGATACATATAGATTTGCCAAGTGTATAGATCTATACATCGAGAGGCGCCCCAAAGACCGTCCAAGTGTCCAAGTGTCCCAGCTGCAGGTGGGATGATATCACAGAGGACCCAAAAGATTTCACAGATGCTCGGCGCACCTGGGCGAAGCTTGGATGGCTACAGTAATTAGTCAGACTTTCAGCTTTTGCCATAAATGGGCATAGATGGATAGATAGATGGATGGATAGATGGATGGATGGATAGATCTACACCAACTAGCTAAAACATTTATAGCCTATAGCTAAGAATGGTTGTGTGAACACGTGGAATGTTCACTCCGGAGCTTGCATGACAATCAACAGCTTCAAGTAGGCAATGGTCTGCGCTAGCGTTATTTTGCATGTAGAATGTAGAATGTATCCCTAGCCTTTGTTAGAGAAAACGCACAAATCCAGTCCAGGGTGACAATTAGGTTTAAGGTTAACTTTGATCTATTTTCATGAAACTTTGACCGTCAAGGGATGTCTTGTGGACCACAGGGTGGTGAAATGTCCGAAGCACGAACCAGGTCAGAAAATGCCCGCACAGGTCCATTCGGATCAGTTAAACCATGGGGTCAACTAACCACTGCTCAGTTGTTTGGGACATGATCATGGATGACAATATACCTCAACCTCGCTACAACCTCACCACAAATCATGAGGACACATCCAAACATTGCCTTAACTGTTTTTTTAATTATAATATATTTAGATATATACAATTATATATACAATTATATATAAATGAATAAATAAATTCAATACATAAATAAATGAATAAATAAATAAAGAAGTAAAGATATATTTAGATAAAATTTGTTTGACATATGACACATGTTACAAACTCTGCTGACAACCTAAGTAAACTATATTGACATTTAATCAGTCAACCTGGCAGGCCAGTAGCGCAACATTTTTTTTGCGCAGCCAAGGAATGTATTGCGGCATGGCAAGAGACGGGAGGCACTCCGCACTCCTCCAAGGTTGAATACCACCCACATAGTACCCTCTGGTTATGACTAACATAGCTATGGAAAATCACCATTTTTAATGGGTAAATCCACTATAAATGGCCATTTTCAATAGCTATGTTAGTTTACCAGAGGGTAATTTTATTTGCAAAATAACAATAAAACATGGGATTAATTAGAGGGTACTGTACCTTATTTTCAGACAAACGCTAATATATACAGTAACATACAGGAATCCATTAATCTAACTGGGGATATATATATATATACAAATATGATGCATATGTATATACATGTACATACGATTGGATTGTAGGATGGTTCCTGCGGGTTTACTAGGTGGGATACGCAACTGTATGCGTGTTTTCCCCAACATGAACAGATCCATTTTTTGGCTTTTCCGAGCTTCCTGGCTGAGTCAAAAGCCCAAAACCCCTGGGTTTTCACATCAAAATAACTGGGATTTATGGGGGTTCATCCAATGTCATCCCCCCAAAATACGGTACCCTCTGGTTATGACTAACATAGCTATGGAAAATCACCATGCTATTAATGGGTAAATCAACGAACTAAATGGCCATTTTCAATAGCTTTTTGTATGTTTACCGGAGGGTATTTCATAGGTAGCCTCTGATAGTTTGACAGTTTGCTATGGAAGCAATGGTCCATTTGGTTCGATTTTTGACCAAGCCTCTGGTCAAAGGTGGCAATGGAAACTCCACGATTTATAGATATTTATAGACGATTTTCCTATGAAATCCATGAAGACTTCTATTTTTTTTGGGGAGTTTCCCAGCTAGCCATGTTTGATGACACCGGGTACAAAAAGCGACAATTTTTCATCCGTCTCGTTGGCTCAGCCCCCATTGGTTCAGCGCAGGGCGCACCTTCCCGGACTTTGGGCGCATTGTTGGGGAGCCGAGAACTTGAAATTTGCGGAAGCCATGGCCCATTGAGAATACGATCATAAACATGATGATTTACCTATTATATATATATACAGATATACATCGTTATTTTCCAGTTCGCTGCTACGTTCAATTACCAGAGGGTGCATTGTATATTAATTACTATGATATATCCCATAAGTAAGAGGGATGTAATCCCTATGCACCATAGGAATACCCCATGGTGATTTGTTGCAGTTTGCTATGGTCAAATTACCAGAGGGTACCATCCAGTGACCAGATTCCTTTGTTGGCGCCGGGCCCCCGGGTTGAGAATTTGGCTACGGTTCTCCTTTGACTACATCCAGCTTGTAGCGGTGGCAGCAAAGATGGAAAAGGTTGCCAGGAGTCCAATAGAGTCAGACATCTTAAGGAAGCTCAAATACCCGGTAGGCCAACAAATGCGACGATGGACATGCAAGACCGATAAAACATAATCCCATCCCGTCAGCGCATCCGATTCCACTGGGGGGCTGTTTTAGTTTTTAAATGTTTTTAAAGTCAAGAGTTTCATCACACTGGACATGGAGTGATATGTATATATATATTATATCACACTGCACACCATATTGACTATATATTATATATATGGTTACGTGGCTCAAGAATGGAGACAGGGAGACCCAGTCCCCAGTCGTTTCCCGTGATTTTAAGCCTCGAATGTATTGGATCTCGATCCGACTCAGCTGTTGAAACTGCTGAAGTGGATGCTTTGAGCGGAAACAAAGTGTCAAAATACCCTCTGGTTATGACTAAATGGAAAATCACCATGCTATTAATGGGAAAATCCACTATAAATGGTCATTTTCAATAGCTATGTAACAAATTACCAGAGGGTAAGTCCATCATGAAATCATGTCCAGTCCAAACTACGCTAGCTTCGCGCACCCCAAACGGTTTTAGATCTTCAAGGTTGAACGTGCCTTTTCCCGACCATTTCCAGTCCAAATCATTTCACAACTTTGATGATCCAAACACATGATTTTTGCTCCCCAAGATGATGATGAAAATCCCCTAATGTGGTGTTGAGGATCTATCAGCCACTATCAGTATACAGCAAAATAGATATAGCAATCTACCATCATCTCCCTTTTTTTTGGGGCTTTCCTAAGTCATGGGGGTACCTCTAAATCATCTATTTCTGGGGATTTTCCATGAAAACCATGGCAGCTATGGGGATATCCACCATGTTATATCCACCATTTTAATGGGATTTTCCATGAAAACCATCCAGCTATGGGGATCCCCTTATGGAACGAACCCCTCCATGGCATGGAAAGCCCCAGATCCGTCGTCGTCCCGGAGGCCTCCCGGAGTCCCGGCCATCGATTGAGCGACGGCTCCGAGGCGGCGAAAAAAAGTTCACCATGAACCTTTGGGAATGCTTGGGATATGGTAGGCATATGGGAGGTATGCAAATGGGGATACATGATAGGACATGATATGACATGATAAGTTTTTTTGGGGACTTCGTATGATTCAGTATTAAACATGATGATAACAGGGCGAAAAAAAGGTCCCGCCCACGGGTTGGGACCTGAATTCACAGATCCAAGACATTCAACCAGTTGGTTGCGTTTAAGGATGTAAACACGAACACTGTCGGGATCTTTTTTTGGGGAACTTCCCGGGTTTTTGAGGCTTCTTCAGGTCTTGGTGCATTTAGATTGCAGATGATTGTCACCACAATTGTGTTTTTTTTGGGGACTCATCCCAAATTAGCAGTTCGGGACAATTCTAATTTGCCAGATTTGTGTGGGTCATGCATCAAGAACATCATCCCAGAATGTTGTCATGTTGGGGCCACTTGGATGGAGATTACATGGGATTACCGTCTGCATCCCTCTGCTGATCTGATACAGAAAATGGATGAACATGGCCTGTTTGTAGATCATGATAAAGCTGTCAAAAATGGTGGTTTTCCGTATTTTTGGCAACAAAAATGATGACCGGAGGCTACTTTTGATAAACACTTCGAGTGCAAAAAAGACGTATTGCCCTGCGTTGCCCTGGACCCTGATCGAGTTGCTCTAGCATTGCCATCATGAGGGCTCAACCACTAAGCGAAAATTATGGCCGTGTACTATCTGGCCCACTTTTCACATGGGCAGTTGGTGTCCCACCCACCTGAAGAAATGTCATTGGACATAGTGACATTAGTGCCGTTGAATTTCCATCCCCCAAACTGGTGGTTGGTTTAAACCTCGATTCAGAGGTTGGCAGTGACCTATTTGGCCCGGCGTTGGTGCTGAATGTCCCGGTCCCAGTTCTCTGAGTGGCTGGTTCCCCAATCCCACCCATTTCTCCGCGGAAACTTTGGGTTTCCATTTTCACCTGATCAAATTTTTGTGCCGTGAAAATGATTTGTGAAAGGGCACACCTTGATAAATCACGGATGCGAACACGAACACGCCGAGTTTTTTTGTCAGTTGGTTCAATGTGCCTCAAAACGTTTTGAGAAAGGAACGTGTGGTTTCTTTTTAGTGGGGACTCGCCCCTGAGACAGACTGAACTTGGTGGTTATGGGGCTGGCATCATCCAAGTGGTAGCCCAGTGGCCCAGTGGCCATGGCCACATTTTGGGCACTTGGAGTGTCCCAGTGTCCCATGTGCCATGTGTCCCGAGGTCGGAGGAAGTCTCTTCAGGCCCGGTCCGACGGTCCGACGCGAGGAAGTCCCTGGCAGCACATTTCTACTTGAATGTTGCTGTGCTATGTTTCACCTTTGGAGCCATCTTTGTATCAGAATATATATATATATAGATACATATGTAGTAATGATACAACAATAAGAATAGCAATAGTAATAGTCATACAGTAGTAATAATAAAGGTAACAGTAATAATAGTAATAGTAATAGTCATAATATTAGTAATAGTAACAGTAACAGCAATAGCAACAGTAATAGTAACAATAATAATACTGATACTAATAATAATAATGATAATAACAATGATAATAATCATGATAATAATAACAATAATGTATATATATATATATGTACACATAAATGATATATATATATCAATGATATATATATATATATATCAATGATATATATATATATATTATATGTACACATAAATGATATATATATATACAAATGATATATATATATACATAAATGATATGTACATATATATATAAATTCATAAATGATATATATATATATATATATCAATGATATATATATATATATATGTACACATGACATAAATGATATATATATATATCAATAATATATAAATATATATATGGACACATAAATAATATATATATACAAATGATATATATATATATACATAAATGATATGTATATATATATAAGTTCATAAATGATATATATATATATACACAAATGATGTATATATGTATATGATATATGTATAAACAATATGTATAATATATATATACAGATACTATATATATATAAATGAACATGATATATATATATATGATCTATATAGATACTATACATATGTAAATGATATATATATATATAAATGATATATATATATATGTAAGATCCAACCATGACTGAGATATTTCCATGAGGGTCCTTGCAACGTTGAGGACAACGCCCAGCACTTTGCGAAAGGCGCGTGGGCTTGTGGGATTCAACAGCAGATAGAAGAATTGGACACCTGGAAGTCATTTTTTGTGTAAAGTCATCTATAGCATCTTGGAAAAAAGGCTTTTCTACCTCTAAAGTGTGACCATGAACTCAGTGCGCTCGCCTTGAAAAAGGACCTGCTTCAGCTGACTTGATGCCCTGCTTGAAGATATCCCACGACGGTGGCTTCAAACACTCGTCTTTTGCAATTTTCGGTCATCTTCGGTCATCCATCACGAATCATAACCGCCTTTGAGCTCTTCAAGAGCTGGCTTACTAAACAACTAAGTTGACATATCCTCTGGTAAGTTAACATAGGCCCTGAAAATTACTAATTTTTAATGGGAACTCATCTTCCAACCCCTATCTGGCAGGGTCGTCATGTTAATTTACTGGAGGGCAAGTGGACCATCAAATCCAATGGGCTGATTGATCCCAACTTGGTCGATCCAAACTTGGTCGCTCCCTCTGCGTCAGGCGCCCTTCTTCGACTCGATGTTTCGACATACTGGCGAAGGTGTCAGGAAACCCTGAGAGGTTTTTATTGCTCACCTTACATTGCCTTACCGGCCTAGCTATATAATCATCCCAAATAGTGAAGAAAGGCAAGACAAAGCACTGCCAGGATACATCATGGATATCACTGATCTGGATTTCACATCGGATTTCGAGGATACATCGAAGAGTATTTTCCCATCATATTGGGAATGGAATCATCCCAACTGACGAACTCCATCATTTTTCAGAGGGTAGGTATACCACCAACCAGAAATATAATTATATATATATATAACTGTCAACAATTAACTCTTAATCATTATATCAACCATTATATCAACCATTATATGGTTGATATAATGGTTGATATAATGATCAATAGTTAATTGTTGACAGTTAATGGTTAATATCATGGTTAATGGTTGATTTGTTTTGGATACACTGAGGGTGGCCTTGGAGCCACTTTGGACAGTGAAGGCGCGGCCGGATGTGCTGAACATGGGGACGTTTTCTCTGCGTCTGCGGTTCGGCATGTGGCGACTCATGTTTTTTTGGATTATTTTGCTGTTTTTTTATCCATGAGCATCAGATTCTTGGGGCTGGTCTGAAAGCCAGGGGGCTGGTCGGTTTTGACTCATAAGCGTCATAAGCCCGACATATTCCGTGGCTTGTTGGGACATGCCCATGGTGCCAATGTGATGCATGCCCGGCTGTTCCAAACTTTTCAGGACCCAACGGTCTCAACAGTTTTTTAATCGTCTTCTTTTTGGGCTATGTTTCCACAGTCCAGTGGACCAAAAACTGGGTCATGTCTTCAGAAAAAAACAACGACGTTTCTTCATGCCTTCTGGCAGAACATAGCAATGGGTCTCCCCATTGATATCCAGTTCCAACATATACTATGCCCTTCTTCCATCTTTTTCCAATGAAAGTGGATAGAAAATACATTCAGGTATTCCTCATTGCTGTCTGAAAATAGTGTATTCCTCACTGTATCCATTGGCGAATCATCACTTTCCCATAGCCAATCGATAGCCATTTGCCGCGACGAAAGGCCACTACTTTGTGGATCGCTCCGGATTTCTCTTCAGACGCCCGGTGTGGGGAAGATCCAACGATCCAACGATCTAACCGGGTAATTTGGGGACGACGAAACTGGCAAGCAGTTTGGGACGTATCCAGTTGGATCATCGTGGCACATGTTTCTTGAAAAATAGGGCTGAGATGATGAGCTGAGGATACATGCTGGAATACTTGCGCACAGCCAGGGGCTCTGACTTCTGCAGGGTGTATGCAGGCGTTACTTGGGTTACTTCATTCAAAGAGGACCAAGTCGGGTTGGTTCATGGGTCGATTCTCTGGCATTTAAACTTTGATTGAGGAAACTTGTTTTTTTTGACATGGTGGGACGGTTGGCTTTTTCTCAAGCAAATTTATGGATCAAATCCCTGGTACCCGGATGGTACCCAACAGGTACCTAAAAGTGCAGGTTCATTGATGTTTCTTAGCCCAGTCAAATGGTTATGTGTCAATATGTTTTTATATATTTTTCCCCACATAAAAATCCATCCAGGATCCCTTTTTGAGGTCATGTCTCAAAGACATGCGAAGCCAACTTCCAAGCCCAAGCGCCCAAGCCATGACTAGCTACAAGACGGGGACCCCCAGTTGTAAGTTGGTGAAAAAAAACCCACCTAACTATAGATACCACAAATTCTCAATCCCAGTTATCTATAGTTATCTTACTTATAAAGCAACTTACTGTTTCAGTGCCAATATTCGTAGTCTATCTATGTTTATCTGGGTTCCATATCTCAGGATTCGCCAAAAAACATCTCCATTTTGTTTGGTCGGTTTATACAGCTACAATTTTGTCGATGGCTCACGATTTCTTCTCGATGACTTCTCGATTAAATCCACCTGTTCACTGATTCAGTCTCTTAAGTCTTGGTATAAACACCAATAAACATTGGTTGGTGGTTTGGAACATTTTTCATTTTTCCATATATTGGGAATAATACTCCCAACTGACTTTCATATTTTTCAGAGGGGTTAAAACCACCAGCCAGATATTGTAAACATCATTGGTGGAATATCTCCATCCATACAGGAAGGGGCTAAACACAATTAACTAAGTTGACAAAAATAACTTGCTCAAGTCATGTTCCCTATATTTCCCTATAGGCTTTATTAAGGGAGTAGCACTATAGTCACCATAGTTAGATGTTGCTGTAAACCAACTCATAACTAGGGAGGCCCTTCCCACGGCACCATCTCGGCACCGAGGGCTTCTGGCTGCTCGGCGAGAAGGCGTGCGATCTGGAGTACGGACCGCCTGGTGACGCTGGCGGCGGGGTTGGAAATTTGGGAGTTCAGCAGAAGTGGAGGTTTCTTAAAAAGGGGGGCTCCCCAGAACCATAGGTTTCAATACTCAGATGGTCTAATGATGTCTAATGACTTGGATGATTTGGAGGTACCCACGGTACCCCCCCATTTTAGGACATATCCACATGGGGAATTCAACAGCGAAATTGCGCAAATGACCTGCAAAGAAGTTGAGGATCTCAACAGGAACACCAGGATTTCGGGAGCCATGGAAGCATGATGTGGGGAGCAACCACCCTTCAAGCTTTTTGGGGCTAGCATAATGAGGGGTTTTAAACAGCGAGTTAGGGATTTTTACCACCATTTTTTGTCATTGCAACGGATATGATGAATGGATGAAGGTGTCACATTCCTCCAGATGCGGGACACGTTTCCCCCATTCCCCAGGCTGGTAAAGCCTTCTTGTACAGACATTCAGACCCTCCCTTGCAATATCTCTGCGATTACGAAAAGTGACTAGGACAAGTCTTTCCGATTTTGCTGCTTAAAGATCTTAAAGCGTGTCAGACTATGTAGTCATATTTAGTCAAATTTGTTTCCATTTTCTGAAGACTCGTTTTTGCGAATATTTTCTCCGGGAGTGCCAAGTTTAAA